CGATTTAATCAAGCAAATAAACTGTAATGCTAACTGATTAGATTTATTCACCTGACATGAATAAACTTTCTTCCCTCTCATCTGAGCTGTTTTGAGGACACACAGGCCCATGGATGGGTGCATTATAGTTGATGCTCAATCATATCAGCCAGAAAGTAGGACATATAATAAATGAAGCCGAGAAAATGTCAACTTGAGCTGAACATGCTGTGGTTCTGTGAGTTATGTGCTGAGAAGATTGTTTGTGGAAGGAAAAACAGCTTTGGAGAGGAAATTTTGGAACCAGAGGACGTTAGCACTACTAATAAACTCTGTAATGGCTTCAAATTATAACGAGAGAGCAGACTGCCCTCAGCCGTAGGAGAGTAGAGAGGGCTGAGGTAGAGCTGACTAAGCGAGGTGGGAAGAAAACGTACCCAGGAAGGAAAGGTGTCATGATGGCAGGGTTGATTCCAGCGTTTGAAATCTATTCGAGGGGTCTGTACCCTCTGAATAGATTAAGGTTTATAACTGGGTGCCAACCAGGGCCTCCATCAAAGTTGAACCCTTACAAGACTCGGCATCCCGGCAAAAGACCCTAGATCTCGTCGATTTATTTAAATCTAGCGAATTTGTGTTACGGGAAGTCACCCAATGTTGCAGTTATTTTATTAACTTTTGGGTTAACTTAATAAGATCACCTGATAAGGTTATCCAAATTATAAATAGTCAGTCTAGACTTAACAATGTTACGTGGCAAATTAAAATGCAACAAGTAAGGATTGAACCAAAAACCTCGGGGCTCGTGCGATCCTCACGTGAAGACTACAAATTTGTAGTCAGAACATACCACTACACTACAAAGGGGATTAAACTATCCAGAAACCCCCCTTTCCGCGTGAAACCCTAAGGTTTCTATCCAACCACTTCAGAAACCTGGGAACCACAAGCAAATCACTGATTGCCGATGGTCAAAATATTTGAGGTCCGATCGGTTCCGACATCCCTTTGGGAGTGTACAGTGCAACTCATTGATCCCATCCACTGCCCTTGACTATGGCAAAAACCCTCGCAATATTGTCTCATCAAGTGGCTAGATCCCTCCCGAATGGTCCAAGGTTTGCATGTGACTCTTTTCCATATATCTCCTCTATTGAGTTGGAAGACGATGACGCGTCGCTTGAACTCGATTATGTCATACCTGAAATTTAAAGTCCGATTTTTCCATCATCTCCGACGTAGGGTTTCTATAAATACTTCTTTCAGTTAGTAATGGGGGGGTTCTACCTGACCATGAGAAATCCTAGGGTTTCTGCCGGAAAGGGGGTTTCTGAGTAGATTGATCCTACAAAGGCATATCAAGAAATTCCCAAGACCGTCATACATCAGTACGTTAGTTGACCTTACAACACCATCCTCTTCACTCTCTGTATAGAATTTGGTATCATTTTAAGCTGAAATGATCAAAAGGATACAGGCTAACCTTATAATGACGCACAAAAAATGCAACAAGTAAGGATTGAACCAAAACCTTGAGGCTCGTGCAGAGCCTATGTTACAAGACTGGACAAATTTGTATCAGACCCGATTTGCCTTATCTACACTACAAAGGGGATTAAACTATCCAGAAACCCCCCTTTCCGCGTGAAACCCTAAGGTTTCTATCCAACCACTTCAGAAACCTGGGAACCACAAGCAAATCACTGATTGCCGATGGTCAAAATATTTGAGGTCCGATCGGTTCCGACATCCCTTTGGGAGTGTACAGTGCAACTCATTGATCCCATCCACTGCCCTTGACTATGGCAAAAACCCTCGCAATATTGTCTCATCAAGTGGCTAGATCCCTCCCGAATGGTCCAAGGTTTGCATGTGACTCTTTTCCATATATCTCCTCTATTGAGTTGGAAGACGATGACGCGTCGCTTGAACTCGATTATGTCATACCTGAAATTTAAAGTCCGATTTTTCCATCATCTCCGACGTAGGGTTTCTATAAATACTTCTTTCAGTTAGTAATGGGGGGGTTCTACCTGACCATGAGAAATCCTAGGGTTTCTGCCGGAAAGGGGGTTTCTGAGTAGATTGATCCTACCAGAGATCATCAAGCTTGTAATGTGGAAATAATCATTACATCAGACGTATGGTCGCCTTGTAAGGCAACCGCCCCCCGGATTTTCCCGGCATCATCTCGTCAGGTTTGCCGTGAAATGACAAGGGCTGGCAAGGGTTGGGCAAGGCCTGATTATGTCGGCGATCAACATTGCAAGGCCGGAGCCTTATCAGGCGCCTGGGAAATTTCCGACACGAAACGTGACCTAATTTGGAGTCATCGCTAAATTTAAGGCTTATCTATATGGTCCTCAATTCCGCATTTTCCTTCCGACCACCATCAGTCTCCTTCTTTCAGTCTATTCGTCGTCTGTCTTCGCGGTGCTCTTCGTCTCAAATGTCAAACTCACCATCCACCGTATCCTGGTCCTCGGCGCGTGTCCGTGAAGAGTTTTTCAACTTTTTCCGTTCCAAGAACCATACATTCGTACCTTCATCACCCACAATACCTTTCGACGATCCCACCCTTCTTTTCGCAAACGCTGGAATGAATCAGGTAATTTATGGCCCATGCACCTGCTTCTAAAATCTGACTTTGTCATCAGTACAAGTCCATCTTTTTGGGCACTGTCGACCCCAATTCAGATATGTCTCGCCTAAAGCGCGCCTTCAATTCTCAGAAATGTATCAGAGCTGGAGGGAAACACAATGGTATGTTGCCTTTTTGACTTCTTCACACACGACTAACCCCCCGCCCTCAGATCTCGAAGATGTTGGCAAAGATTCCTACCACCATACCTTCTTTGAAATGCTTGGCAACTGGTCGTTTGGTGACTACTTCAAGGTTGGTCGAGGCTGGCTGTTCTCTCTGCCCTGCGGACGAAAATGATCTGTTCGTTCGCAGAAGGAAGCAATAGCTTATTCTTGGGAACTCTTAACGGATGTCTACAAACTACCCAAGGACCGATTGTATGTTACATACTTCGAAGGTGACCCGAACAACGGGTTAGAACCAGATCTCGAAGCCAAGCAGTATTGGCTTGATCAAGGAGTCGACGAGGATCACATTCTTCCTGGAAACGCTAAAGATAACTTTTGGGGTTCGTTATCTTGGTCACTTTTTGAATCTGTTCTCACCTGGAAGTTTTCAGAGATGGGAGCCACTGGGCCATGCGGACCATGCACGTAGGTTCCAGGTTGCTAAATCTCATCAATCTACTGATATTTTACCAGCGAAATTCATTTCGATCGTGTCGGTGGGCGAAATGCCGCTCATCTCGTCAACCAAGATGACCCCGATGTGCTGGAAATATGGAATAATGTTTTCATTCAGTTCAATCGTGAAGACAACGGTTCACTCAAACCTCTTCCTTCGAAACACGTCGATACTGGGATGGGCTTCGAGCGGCTTGTGTCCATCGTTCAAGATAAGCGTTCCAACTACGACACTGACGTATTTCTCCCAATATTCGATAAAATTCGAGAGTTGACAGGTGTCCGTCCATACGAGGGACGATTCGACGCGGATGACGTGGACGGGATTGACACAGCGTATCGCGTTGTCGCAGATCACATTCGAACCTTGACATTTGCTCTGAGCGACGGTGGTATTCCAAATAATGTGGGTCGCGGGTACGTTCTGAGGCGAATCCTGCGCAGAGGTGCACGATATGCAAGAAAGAAACTGGGCGTCAAGATAGGATGTTTTTTTTCATCGTTGTTGCCCGTTGTTGTTGAAACGATGGTTGGTTTCGATGTGAAATGATTCGATTCAGTATTCATATACTATTGTTCTAGGGTGCAGTATTCCCCGAAATCACAAGAAAGGTTGATGACATCAAGGAAATATTGGATGAGGAAGAGGAATCCTTTTCTCGAACATTGGATCGAGGGGAAAAATTGTTTGACCAATTTGCCACACGCGCTAAGGAGCAGGGGTTAAAGGAGCTTAACGGCAGAGATGTCTGGAGACTGTATGACACTTTTGGATTTCCGGTGGACCTTACACGTTTGATGGCGGAAGAGCTAGGATTGGGAGTCAACGATCAAGAGTTTGAAGAGGCTCAGGCATGGTCGAAAGAAGCAAGCAAGGCGTCCAGCAAGCAAGTTGGCACCAGTATTGTTAAACTGGATGTGCATGACACCGCGGCTTTAGAAAAAGACACCGACATCCCAAAAACCGATGACTCTGCGAAATTTAGTGCGTCGATCCTTTCTTCCTCAGCACACCCCAAAACTTAGGCACACTCCAGACTTGGGAAACATAAGGGCTTTGGTGAAAGCTATTTTTTACGAGAAGAGCTTCCCGCAGTCAACAGATATAATGCCGGAAGGGGCGACTTTTGGTATCATCCTTGATAAAACGAGCTTTTACGCAGAAGCCGGTGGACAGGAATACGATACTGGCAACATTGTAATCGATGGAGTAGCGGATTTCGAGGTCACCAATGTTCAGTCATACAATGGGTATGTTTTACATACTGGCCACCTCAAATACGGTCAACTTGCTGTTGGAAAAGAGGTGATTTCATCTTATGATGAAGTAAGTCACCTTATGTATCCGTTCTGCACTTTCTGACGAACAAAAGCTTCGGCGATGGCCTTTGCGTAACAACCACACTGCAACTCACATCCTCAATTTCTGCCTCCGAGAAGTTCTTGGCGACCACATTGATCAAAAAGGCTCTTTGGTCGCCCCAACCAAACTTCGGTTCGACTTTTCTCACAAGGCGCAAATTTCACATTCGGAACTGTCGAGAATTGAGGCAACCAGTGTTGATTGGATTAAGCGAAACGTCAAGGTCTTCAGTAAAGATCTCGAATTAGAAACTGCGTCAAAGATTCCTGGGTTGAGGGCAGTGTTTGGGGAATCATATCCCGATCCTGTTCGGGTGGTAACTTTAGAGTATGATGTGGACGAAATTGCGAAGGACATTGAGAATCCCAAATGGCGCAGAACTAGTGTTGAATTTTGCGGTGGAACGTGAGTTGAACCCTTTGGTATACTTGGCGATCTATGACCCTTCCTCCCCAGTCACGTTGCTAGAACGGGTGACATCAAAGACTTCATAATCACAGAGGAATCTGGTATCGCCAAAGGGATACGTCGCATTGTTGCTATAACTGGGCATGAGGCCCACAGCGCTGCCCGGCATGCGCTGCTACTTCAAGGAAGGCTGGAACAAATCGATTCTTTGACTGGGAAGAACAAGGATGCTGCTCTGAAGGCATTGAGCATTGTATGTTCCCGACACTTTTCTACCTTTGGTCGCTTGCTGAACCAGCTTCCTTGAATACAGGAGCTTGGTCAGGCAGACATCTCTGTCCTGAAAAAAGCCGAGCTCAGGGATCGACTGGCCGTTATACGCAAGGCTGTCGATAAACAAGTCAAAGAAAGAGAGGCAGTTGTCAACAGAGAGGTAGTCTTCGAAATTATCAGCAATGAAGTTTCGGCCTGAAAGCATTTTTCAGGCAATCGATACCATTCAACGACATTTCAACGACAACGAAAAAGCGGAAACCTACATCGCATCGCTCAACGTGGATGGAAACGCGAAAGTAATCGCAGTGACCTTGTTGGTCTTTGCCATTTAACTAATCCGCCATAGATTCTTCAGGCCGTTATCTCACAAGGAAGGAAACTTCAAAAGGCGGTATATCTCTTCAGCGTTGATCCCGAGAGCAACACAGTTGCACACGTCAATTACGTCCCCCCCGAATTCAAAACCAAGGGAGCTGATGCTCGGACCTGGGCAAGCAAGGTCGTTGGTATCTTGGGTGGCAAGGTGATAGGATATGCAAATGGAACTCGTCATATAGTCTGACTTTTTCGTTCAATTTAGGCGGGCGGAAAGGAAGACTCTGCACAAGGGGTGGGTTCCGATGGTCACAGACTTGACGAAGCACTTGTTGCTGCCCAACTATATGTGGATGAAATTTTGTAGTATTAGTATTTGTGACCTCTGCTGAACGAGACTCTCATTAGAAATGACTAAAGTTTACATAGTTAGTCACGTTGCTTTCTTGCCATTTCAAACTCAGATGCTTGATTGTGGCCCCTGTTTTCGCCCAAACCTTTATGCTTCAGCGTGGTGGAGATGAAAGAATGTAGAATTTTGGAGTTTGATTCTATACGTGTATTCTTGTATTTTGGACTACTTAGATTTTGAGGGATGGTTATGAGATGGGGAAATTACAAAATTTTATATCAATGACTGGTGATCATGAATGACTGTACTTTCTTTCTTTCCCTTTTTTTTTCTTTTCCCCGGAGATGGCTGTCAATATTACCTTCCATCCAGGTGCGCTCCCTCCCTGCCCCAGCATTCTCCCTTGACGTTGGATTTCAAAGGTTCCGTAACTAGCACAGAGCGGACGCAGCTATTACTACAGAAAGGCGTCACCATCTGGTTGACGGGTCTCAGCGCAAGCGGAAAAGTTGCACAACTTCGCTTCGATCGTATCGTTTTCCTGATCTTCAAGTCCAGTCAACCATTGCCTGCGCGCTTGAGCAGCATTTACTGAAACTGCACAAGTTCACCTATCGTCTTGATGGCGACAATATCAGACTTGGACTCAATAAAGACCTTGGCTTCGATGAAAAGTCTAGGAACGAGAACATACGACGAATAGGGGAGGTGGGTAAAGAGACAGCTTCATCGACCTACTATAATTGTTAATCTGCCATTGTTTCTTGAGGTGTCCAAGCTGTTTGCAGATGCGGGATGCGTATCCATCACCGCTTTCATATCTCCCTATCTTGCAGATAGAGCCATAGCCAGGAAACTACACCACGAGGCATCATTACCGTTCGTTGAGGTCTACGTCGATGCACCACTCCAAGTAGTGGAAGAACGAGACCCTAAAGGATTATACAGAAAGGCAAGAGCGGGGGAAATCAAAGGTTAGGCCATCAGTTCTCCTGAAACATCGATTTATCAGATAGCTCATAAACTGAAAGAATTTACTGGGGTATCAGCTCCGTACGAGGCGCCAGAAGCGCCAGAAATTCATATCAAAACGGATGAAACCGAGGTCGTTGATGCAGTTCGCATCATTACCGAATACCTAATTTCTAGAGGATACCTTTCTATATAGTATTGAAGTAATGCCCCAACACTATTACGATCGGACAAAATGAATTTCAAATTTGTGGATATCGCTACAGCTGCCCACTCACCAGTGGATGCTAAAATATAGCTAAATCGTCCGATGAATAGGTCCTTTTTTGCTCCTCCAATTCGTGTGTAGCAGATTGTTCTTCGGCGATCATATTGATGCTAGACTGCTCGAGTATCCCGTCGAGTCCCCCTCCAACCACTGCTAACCAGCGGGATAGGTCATCAATTGTCCGCATCAACTCTTTGTGGGGGTTTTTGCTGACAATCAGGGAAGGATAATCTAGATATCCTACAGGTCGCAGCCTCGCCGATTGGGGAAAAAAATGGTCACTCAAATTGCTAAGCTCATGCTCCGGGGTTCCACCCATGCCGGCCTCAGATAAAGAGGGTCTAATGAAGGGTGATGTCGTTGGTGATGCAACGAAGTCCCGCACGTCGGAAATTAGACGAGGATCGTCTCTTTTGGACCCTTGAACGATGGACCCGAGGTTGCTGGCAACCGGAGTAAACAATCGTGGCCCGCTGGCAACGGCAGATGGAGATGGGGGCAGAAGATCAGCCATTCCGAGATGGTGCTCAGTTGTAAGCGATGGTATCTAATAAAAATTCAACTTGAAGTTAGACGAAGGTTTCTTATATAGCACACCTTGAGAACATCTTTGAGACCCGGAGTTCCGAGGGATAAGTGTCCAATAGGCAAAGAATCCGGTATACCCCTGTCAATAGAAAGGGGGCCAGGCGGCTTATAAGAAGGGAGCAAAGCACTGCTGTTAGTTTCTAGACCAAAAGGTCCCTTGCGCGAGTTTGGAGATTCAGAAAATGAGGGATTTGTTGGCGGAAGCGTTGTGGCTGATCGTGTTCGCGCGATGGGGGAAGGTGACACTGGTCCAAGTTGACGTGGGTGGCGTGTGGAAGCTGACGTATCTAACGAGTATGTGCTTTGGTGAGTGATCGATTGGCCAGACGAACCAGAGGTGCTTGGACGAGTCGGCGAACCGTGCAACCGACGGGGGGGTATCGGGTCTGGAAGAACTATCAAGTTCGCGGAAGGGGGAAATTGAAAGGTGGTAGCTGATGACTGTTCCTTTCGCACAGATTCAGAAACTGGGTTCTGAAGTCGTGCGCCATCAAAATTTGAAGGTAAAGGCGATGGCGCTGACGTAGAAGGCAAACCTGAGATAGAGCTCGAACTGACATCCCCCCGTATCGTTACGTCAAAAGTGCCTCGTTGATTCAAATTTTTGAAGCTGACAGGCTCTGCGGCTGGCGGCATAGTTGAAGCATCGTGATGTCCGTGACGCTGAATTGCATCAGCAAAAGAGGGCGATAGAATTTCGTTGTCTAAAGGTGGTATGGGCGTGTTAAAGTGGCTCCGCGTCGCTGAGCGAGACGTTAGAGGCTTCTCTGATTGATCTCCAGTAAAGTCAGGAGGACCACTTCTTACTCCACCACTTACCCAAACAGGGGTTATGGTGGGCGATGGTGCAATGACGTCGGATTTTTGAGACGATTGAAAGCGATTCACATCTTGCTGAGATTGCGCGGTGTTTTCAAAGAGAAGGCGCAAAGAGGACGGTAGTGTGGAAGAAGCGTGAGGTCGAAGGGTTGCCAGCCCAGAGTTATTCTCCTCAGGTGCGTAGATAGCCTCGTTAGCGTCCTCGTCGTGCACGATTGAGAGAGAGGAGCGTCCCCGTACTGTATCAAACTCCCATGGATTGGGGTCGTCGATAAGAGAATCGAGCATCCTAATTGGTTAAAAGAATCACTAACAAAGCATATGAAGACATTTCCGAATAAAAACCCACTCGTTATCTGCGCCTTCCCAGTCCAAGGGCTCAGCGAGACTGGCACGTGGCCCAGCTTGTTGTAGCCGAAGTATTAGATCTTTCAGAGTAGCCAATCCGACCTTGGAAACAGATTTCATCCATTTAGTCTTCGCCAGCTCGTCTGCGGGAAGACGCTGTGTGTGTCAACGACCTCTTGACGTCGAAGAGGTGAAAGCAAATTACCTCCACAGGTGACTCTTTAAGACAGAGCGCCATAAAATCCCGCATATCTTTCCCACCTTCGCCCTCAAGAAGCCGTGGAGGTTTTGCCCTAGGGATTAGGTCCATGACTTGGAATTTATCGAGATTGGAATGAGGGGGAGATCCTTTAACCATCTCATATATCATAATTCCCAGACTCCAGATATCAGCCTTTGTATCGTATGCAGGAACACTTTGGACGACCTCTGGAGCCATCCAATAGGGTGTCCCCGTCAAAGTGTTCCGTTTACTTGATGTTGTTGTTAAAAGTGCAGAGACGCCAAAGTCGCATATCATCACTTTTCCGGTAGCGGTAACGAGTACGTTGGCAGCTTTCATGTCTCGGTGAATAACGGGCACTTTGTGGAGGTAACTCAAGCCAACCAGAACCTCTCGGATGATGACTGACACGTACTTCTCCTCTATGCAACCGTCCTTGGAAGCCTTCATCAAAGACAGGACGCTTCCGCCCTGGGCAAATTCCATTACTATCCAGACACGAGGACCATCCATATAACAACCAAAATACTTGGTAATGTTGGGCGCATCGCGCAACTGAGTCAACAAAGCAACCTCACGCTGGATGTCGCCAACATCGTCGTCGGGTGTGTCGAGATTGATAATTTTGAGAGCAACAACGTTGCCTGTTGGGATGTGTTTCCCTTTATGAACGGAGCCGTAAGCACCTTTCCCGACGGTCTCTAGACGCTGGTATAACTGATGAACAGAGGGTTGAGCCATCGCCACGATGGTGGAGAGGGAGAAATGATAATCATGTGACTTTACAATCTTATCAAGTTTCCTTCGAGTCCCTCATTTCAATGGATATTGACAGCGTCAAGTTGGACTCGGTGAAGCGAGAATTTCTTGCAATTGTACTCGCTGGATTCGGCAACGAGTAAGCTCTGTTCATCATACAGCCTTCAATCAACTAATTTATAAAGGCTCCTGCCTCTTACAGGAGATTATGGCGACGAACCATGTCCTAAAGCTCTTCTCCCAGTCGCAAATAAACCCATGCTTGAATATACCCTAAGCTGGATTGAGAAATCTGGCATCCGAGGTACACGCCAATTCTTTGCGTTGCGTCTGTTGTTTTGACTTTCATCTATAGACGTTTTGCTCATCTGCCCTACAAGCCATCGCCCATCCATCTACCACTACATCCATTCCGATGTCACGTCTTCATCGCTTCGTATCGATCTTCAGACATTTGACGAGTCTCAGGATGGCGGTGTGGGAACGTGCACTCTCCTTCGTCACTTTTCAAGTCGGGTGCCAGAAGACTTTGTTGTTGTTCCCTGCGATTTTATCCCGCCACCCACCCTTCCACTAAGTATGTTGCTCAACAAGTTTCGCGTAGACTCCGTTGCAGAGGGTTGTGTTGCAACCACCTGCTGGTACTCAGCCTACAAGCCAGACAAAGCTGCTTTGGTAGATGAATGGGGCCCACTTCCTGCCCCCAGCCCCATTATATGGGATGATCTCACTGGAACACTCCTTTACATCGATACGTCCGATGACGTTGATCGCAACACAGACGAATTAGAACTGAGAATGGCAATGTTGTCGAGGTTCGTCAGTTCTTTCATCCGTGTTTACTCATTCTTGACTCCAGACAGACACCCTCGAGCTATCCTCTCATCCTCCTTGCAAGATTCTCATGTTTATGTTTGTCGAAGATCCGTTCTTGACCTCCTTCATATAAAACGCCATTTCGATGGTTTCAGGCAGGAGTTTCTGCCTTGGCTTTGTAGGGTTCAATATCAACGAGCAAAGAGGGAAAAGTACAAGCACGGTTGGCTTACCTGCGCTTTTTGAAATATTCTCCACTGAGGAAGACAAACAGTGTTGAATCCAGTGATTGACACAACATCTCAACGTCTCGCCCTGAGACACTCCACCCTACTATCTCGTCGGCTGGAGTTGGCGGGTCCAATACAGGAATCCACCATGTCCATTCCTCCATCCCCGACGGATTCTGATGCGGAGCAAGATCTGAAGACTGGTTTGAAAATAGGAGTAGTTATTCACCGGGCAGAATCGGGATTCGCTCTGCGTGTAAACACCGTTCACAATTTTTTAGAGATCAATCGACGGGTTGGTTCTTCATCTCTTACTTACCACTTTTCCTCATCACAAGTCATCACTAGGCTCTCAACGGGGTTACCTATGCACTCCCATCTGATCCCAAAAATCGTTCTTTGATAGACCAGAAGGCTCAGATTGCTAGCGACACCATCATTGGAGATTTTACTCAGGTCTCAGAACGCACAACGATAAAAAAGTCGATCATCGGGCGGCACTGTGTCATTGGAAAGGGTGCAAAGATCTCTGCATCTGTGCTTCTCGACCACTGTGTTATTGAAGATGGGTGGGTTTTAGCAGGCAGCCTCGATTAAAGTTTTATATTCTTATCTGATTTGCCTAGAGCTAAATTGGATGGCTGTATTTTGGGAAAAAACACCAAAGTCGGAACCAAGTCAGAACTTGCCCGTTGCGTTACTCAGGCTGGATATGACATTGGTCCCGGAGGTTAGTTCAATGAATAAATCTTTCTCATTGGGATGCTGCTGATAATATACCTCTGACGCAGACATTGTCAAAGGCGAGAAGCTGGATATTTCGGATTGGACTGCCGCAGTCGGTGACGGAATTGAAGGCGATGAAAGTAGCGAGTGTGATGGATAATGTCATTACACAATAATATGTGGGATGGCGATGTTTTCGAAGAGATGGCCATCACCAACTGCAAACCACGCGATCAACTTGCTCTCTGAGTTGACTGACCAGGCATCTGATTGCCAAGACCCTGAGAAAATCGTGTACCACGTCCCCCACGGGAGCCACCTGTTCGAGAAAATCTTTCAGCAACAACGCACGGCCAAATAGTCAGAACATACCTCGAGCACCCCTTGTTCTCTCTCCTCGGCCTCTACGTTCTTGTGTCTGTTCACCTCGTTTTTCCCCTTTGCTGCCATCGGTCCTCTCGCCCCAACCACCCGTGCCACCCATTTTAACGTCCAACGCCTTCTCATTCTGATCCACCATAGCCGCCACCTTTTCCGCAATAACTTGTGCCAATTGTTGAGGGCGTGAAAGGTCGATTCTATGAAAAAGAACAATGCCACCTGACTGATCGAGGGACGCCGACAATTCTTCATTCCAAATCATTTTGGAAACGATCGACGAGACTGTCCGAAGGGATAGAGAAAAGGTTCTGGAGAGAAGAGAAAGAGAAAGAGTGCTGTAATGGGGTGCATATGTGAAAAGGTAGGTTCTCAGGCCTTGTTCTTGGATGCGCCTGTACAAGATTGAGCAGCAATCAAGAACAAGGGAGGGCAACCCACTTGGCTAACATTTCCTTGACCGCGGCAGCCTCGGGCATCAGACTCCAAATTTTGATGCTCTGAATTAAGTCACGACATGTCTCCCATTCACCGTCCTGTAATGCCTTGCTAGCTTGCATGATATGGTCTCTCGTGCTCTCAGGTGGGCCGGTAAAAACTTGACGATCAGCAAAATCCAGTAATCTTCGGAATGGTTTTGAAATTGCCTTGCGTTTCAATTCTTCAGAGTCGATGCTTGCAAGTAAGGGGATCTCGATGAGCATGCTGGAGACAAGAAACGCGGCTTCTAGCAATTCTGTGTTTATGTGCATGTGAAAGGGAAGCTGCCGCTGCTTTTCCGCCTTTTCTTGTTCGGGTGTTAACACTTGGAAGCGTTGTTGATGGACGCCCTGTGCAAGGAGTTCCTTTACTCGCTGAGTAGTGAATATATCCTGTAGTGTCGCCTGGGCCTCTTTGATCAATCCAGATCGGAAGGCGCATAATCCAAGCTGCACAACAGTGCGATTGTAGAGAATTTGAGTAGCCACGTCAGCTGAATGAATTGACTCCTGCAAGTGAGACATCAAAAGCATATCACGCGCAGTGTGAAAGTCGTTATGTAGAGCGTGGTGGTAGATGTGGCTGAGCATTGCTCGTGTTCTCAAAAGAGAATTCCCAGCTTTGTAGAGATGAACGCAAAGGCCGTGGACGAGGGCCGCCGTGCCTCCTTGTGCAACAAGAGTCATTGAAGGTTTCACATCAGAATCATCCACAGCTGCTTCCAGTGCCTGTACCACGGCGTTGGGCTGTGATATCGTCTGTAAGCAATCCCCGTACCCAAAAGAAGCGGACGAAATAAGTAAATCAACGCTCACATACCTTTGAATAGATATGTTCCAGTCTTCTCATGATAACTCGTCCAAGGGGGTCATTTTGATTTGTTTTTTCATAAAAGGCTTGAGCGCGACATATTGTGCAATATAGAACCTTTTCGTCCTTGAGGCGATCCACGTACTCGGTTCCGTGCGGATCAATATTTTGTAGACTACGAGTAAATTCATCGTCCAGACGGTCAATGAAGCTTATGATAGAGCCTCGGACGTGAACAACTCCTCGTTCTGTTGAAGCAGAGCGCTCAACAAGTTCATCATAGTCTTCTGTGACCTCTTGAATGGAAAAGTTGGAGTCCGATGCAATTATTGAAACGAGCTGATCCACTTCTCGCTGTGCGGCTAACCATAACTCCGTTGGCATATGTGTTGAGACGGAAGAGTTGTAGTCGAACCGCGAAGAGATCAGGGCAAGAAGAACACGGATTCTCTGGTATGGAGTAACTGCCACTTCAAGGAGTTTCTCTAGGATGCGGATCTGTTCGGCGCGGTCCGTATTCTGCGCGAAGCAAGTTAGTAAACGAAAGTCGGTGAATGGCTGAAATTACCTTCTTTCCTCGAGCTTCTTGAACAGCGTGCAGGTTTTTGAATATGCCCTCGGAGGTGAACTGAACACCTCGTCCACCCTTTCCAACCGTGGTGAATTCCTCGACAGTGGTATCATCACCTGTGGTAGCCGTTGCTCCACGGGAACCAGGGGCAGCAGGTGCAATTGGCTCCCTCGAAACCAGTGCGGCGTACTCGCGGTTGAAGGCTTCAGGATCCTGCGTGTTGATTAGATCTTCCGAACATTCACTTGTGATAGATAGCTACCTCCAGGTACTTTTTGACATCCGTCTCGTACTCCTTGATTGCCCTTTTTATCTTTTGCTTCATCGCTGTTAGGGCCTTGGCGTTTGTAGCGTTCATTTTTTTCTTCGCTTCTTTTTCTTTGACAAGGGCGTTGTTGATAGAAGATTCCAAGTTAACTAGCGTTCGGACATAAAAAGGCGGGATCGGCTCTGAGACGTTATGTTGTCTCTGGATCATGCGGACGAGTTTATCAAATTCTTGAAGTGATACGTTCAGCCACAGATTCCAAAACCAATGTTAAAAACTCGCCGGTAGAAATAGCCACCCAATCATTAATTTTGAGAGCGTTCTCCATAACCTTGCCTGTAGCCTCCATTTCCTTCAATCGCTTCTCTTGCGCACTAATGATTCGGACACCTGGACGTTCACCCTCATCATCTGTTTCATCACCGTCTCCCTCAGGTCCTGCTTCACTGTCCGTATCTGTGGATTCTTCTGATTCTGAGTCGCTTGAGTCTGAGCCAGCTGTTTTGAGAAACCGGGACATTGCTGGCTTGGGGGCTGAAGCTGTCGGCTTTGACGGGGCTTCTTCGTCACCGCTGGTCATGAGCTCTGACTCTGACTCTGAATCAGAGTCAGAGTCAGAATCTCCTGCTTGCCTGAAAAATCTGGACATGATGAGATGGTTGAAAGTTAGTAAAAACGAGATTAAGATGGGCGCAAAATTTAAGAGTTTATATTATGTAATAATATTTATTTAAAGCAAAGTACTTGATGAGTACTTAGCACAGACTTAGCATGATTTTGCTTCGTCGTCTTCCTTTCTCCTTGAACCACACCCGTTCCTTCACAGTCCTTGCCTTTGAATCATCTGCAGACGACACTTGCGCAGCCGTAGTTCACTCTTCAAAATCTATCCTTTCGAACGTTGTCATCAAGCAGAACAATCTACACGAGCAGTATGGAGGAATATACCCAATAACCGCCATTGATGCCCATCAGCGAAACATGGTTCATCCCCCTCATCACCTTTTAAATTTCGCATATTGACCCCCATTCCCAGCCCTACGCAGTTCGTCGCGCTCTGAAGGAAGCGAATGTCGATCTTGTAAAGGACATCAATGGCATTGCTTTCACAAGAGGCCCCGGTATGCCAGGCTGTTTGAGCGTCGGAATGAATGCAGCAAAGACACTTGCAGCAGCTTTGAACAAACCTATCGTTGGAGTTCACCATATGGTGCTTTACACCTGCACTTTGGTTGCCTACCCACTCACCACCCCTTCCTTTTAGCAAGGCCACGCCCTGACCCCTCTTTTGACATCTTCGAACCCTCCAAAGTTTCCATTTCTCAGTTTGCTGGTGTCAGGAGGCCACACACTCCTCCTTCTGGCTACTTCACTTGACTCGTTCCAAATTCTGGCTACAACTGTCGATGAAAGCATTGGAAGGGCCATAGATCAAGTATCAAAATTGTTGGATTTGAAGTGGACTTCCCTTGGCCCTGGAGATGCTCTGGAAAAATTCTGTGCTCAAAAAGTCGACACAGACTCTATCGTCATACCACTTCCTCGAGTTACTATGGCGGGGAAATTGTCTTTTTCTTATTCTGGGTTGCATTCTCGTGTCGAAAGATATATCGAAACCCTTGGTGGAATCAATAACATCGATTTGCCTACAAGGATGGCAATAGCTCGTGCGTTTCAAAAGTCTGCAATGGCACAACTCGAGGACAAGCTTCTGCTTGGATTGCAATGGTGTCAACAAAAGGATATACCTGTTAGGCATGTCGTACTTAGCGGGGGTGTGGCGAGCAATCAGTATCTTCGTGAGAGGTATCAAATTTCCATATCAACCCTTCTGTTTACTGACACTTTTTCAACCAGGCTTCACCAGTGTATATTGAAAGCAGATTTAGCTCTTTCAATTGATTTGGTGTTCCCTCCACCTCCCTTGTGCACAGGCATGGCTTTATGTTCACTTTACATGTCATCTTTGCTTGACTCGCCGCAATTCAGATAATGCGGTCATGATAGGCTGGGCTTCAATGCACCGTTTCCTGGCCAACGATTTTGACGAGTACGACATAGAGTCACGACCTAAATGGAGCATCGACCAACTTGCTAGTTCAGCGACGCGACGCACACCATAGATATACATAATCTAAAAGCGATTGGACAAAACTAGGGTATGTAGTATATTATAAAAATATGTTGTTATGTGAGATCTATAAAGTCTCTGGTGTGGGATGGATACCTCCTGGGACTTGAAGACTTTAATAAATGTGACGGGAGGTCGTCGTCAGAGTCAGTTAGATCAGGGATGTCTGCGCCATACGTGATAGGCTCAACTCTTCGGGTATAAGATGGTGCTGGGGAGGTAGACTTGTTCGTTTTGTGTCGTTTGGGAGGCTTTTCCATCTCAAGTTCGCGTTGCTCAGGTCTCCTTTTTACAGAGCAAGCTTTTAGAGGTGCGTCCAAGATTTGATCAAACAGTCGGTCAAGTTTAGAGCATGGATTGCTATCGTCTAGCTCAATCCCGTCGATAGAGGCGTCGTCATCGACACTACCGCCCTCGTCTATGGAAATGTTTCCGGGATCTGGAAATGAAAACAGGAATCCATGATTTATTTCAGACTCCACTGAGGACCCGGACACAGCGCCTAAAGAGGACTTCTCTTCAGTAGCGGAAGCCCCTTTTATCTTTCGTTTCCGCGGACGTTCCGAAGAAGCGAAATCCTCAATGATGGCTGGATGAACTTGACACAGGACAGAAGCTGGTATCCATAGCAGCAAGCTGCTGTCAGAAAGCTCTACTGACTTTTTTGTACCACGCTCAGCCTGTGAAGGTTCTGGTCGAATTCCTCGAATGCCCGACCGAGTGAGGGTGACTAATTGGCTTGGGATTATTTCGACCTGGTATTCCAGGAGGTAGTCGGTGGATGCATGCCGTCGAGTTCCCACAACTTTACGAATGAGAGGGAAGGGGTCGGGCACATCAGGTAATTGTCTCCCCCGAGTTTGTGGACCTGGATTCACGAACACCTCTGCATATCTGTCGGTTATATCCGCCTGGTTGGTGCGACCGAGATACTTTTGTATGAGGGAAGCCGGCGTCCCTACAACTAAAGTACGGGAGAGGAGAGGAGAACCTGCGTCAAGGTTGCCCATCTTTTGTTCCTTCTCATCGGCTTCGAGAACAGCACGTCGTAGAATATTCATGACGGCAGCGGGCCACATCATGCTCCTAAATCTCTTCAGTATCTCTGACGTATACCCCCATTCGAAATACTTCTCGCAGAGACCGGCGATTCGCCCGAGGTCGAGGCTACCTTTATCTCGGAGTGGGCTGCATCCTCGACTTCCGGGTTGCCCATTGTTGAGAGGGTTGGCGTACTTTTCTAACACGTCAAGGTCGGGAAAGTCGTCAGGAAGGACCATAGTGTATTTATGGGGAAGAAAACCACGAGAATTGTCCCTCAGTTCAGAGTTTATGTTTGACCTCCACTGAAATAAGAATGTGGCGAAAGCTCCCGGGGGCTGACTGTAGGCCTCCAACAATTGGTCACCGAAACCACAACGAGCGAGGCCATGAGCAAGGGCCTTTCCAACCTTGCCGACACCCTAGTATTGGACAGGGTTTAGATACAGCATCTTGCATTCAACGCTAGCCAGACCTTGTGATAGTCTCCGCCTGACAAAAGTGCAAAGAGAACGAGACCACCCCTGGTCAGAGCAATTTCTGTATTGTCTTTGACCGCTTCTGCTGTGTAGAGCATGACATGATGGGCGTCTTTTTTGTTCTCTAAATTCAACGCAGGGTTGTTTCTGTTTCCTGACAACTTGACCGACATGCTGATAGCGGATGATGAGTTGAGAACGGATTGGAAGACGTAGAGGAGGTAGCAAACTTCTTTATCACGGTGCGAGCACCAAAAATGAAAACATCACAATCATCTGACATGATTGCGTCGATGTAACCTTTCTGGTTAAGGTAAGCCAGTTCCGCTTCCGCTTCTCCTCTCGCCTAGATTATGTTTATGATTTGGCAGTGCAAACCAATTACTCTGCGTACCTCTCTCCATTCTATTCCGAACGCATCAAGGAACTCCTTGAAGTTCTTAGAAAGTGCATGAGAGCCTGACTTTCCCAACCTGCTTCCCCGCTACAATCATGGTCGGCCTGGTACCCGTATCCTCCAATACAAAGAGAACACACCTTAACCTTGGGCCGCTCCCTTCCATCGAAAACAAATAATGGCAAGATCGGTAGCTTTACTGGGGGAGAATGGGGAATTGAGATGATTGAATATGATGATAGTAAAGGTCACGCACATAAGGAAATCAATCGAAAGAAGAGAGTCCGAAGCTCCCAGTTTTCCCCACCCTTGCTAAAGGCAGCGTGGTGGAACCAAATGCTGGCGTCGATGCCAACCCTGTATGCACGCCTGAGTGCTTCAGTTGAATAAACGCGGAATCACTGAAAGTCAATTCAGAACCCACCTACGCGAAACATTCTTCTCAAATCCATCGACGACGGCAAGGTGTACCAAGGAACGAGACTTGCCAGCTTTGTTCAAGATCTTGAATGTCAGATTGATAATAATAATAAAAATAGCAATAGAGAATCAACACTTACATCCCATAATCCAGGAACTCCCATTGGGCGAGTCGAAGAGGACACAAAGGCAACACAAAGGGCAAGCCAGGGGTTTGATTTCGCGATCCGTCACATCACGTGCCGTTCATGACTGCGTTACATAACTTTTGTTTGCATCGTGACGGCCTTGCCAGTTGCTCACGAATGCCGCCCTTCCAAGAACTCCGGCCTCCCAAAAGGAAATTGGTCGACGATGAACTTTCGAGCAGGAAGCGATTTACCACAGGTCTAGGCTTAGCTGCCGCCTCCACCTCAGTAGACGAAGAACTAGTATGGATGGTACAATGGTATTGTTCCCTCTTAGATTCTTCCAAACGACCTTTTTCTCATTTGTCATTCAAGGAGAAACCGTCAATACAAGAAGCATAAAACATGGGATGGTGATGCTATTCTTGTTGTCAACCGTAGTAAATGCACCCTATTTGACTCTGAAGGCAAAATGTGAGTTCAAAAAGTTACGTTCCTGACAACTTTTACCAAAGAAGAATACATTTTGAAGCATGTCCACTGGCAAAGCCGAAGCACCCCTATTCGAAGGAAAGAGCTTTTTTGTTGGCGCCAAAGAGGTTGAACTGGATCGGCCCGTTCTAAGGACGGAGTTTCTTTCAGGTCAATGCTTTGGCCGGCACAATAGCATTCAAGGACGTGATGCGTTTGAAACTCAAAACGATTTGGCTCACGTGAAGAAATTTGTTTCTCCCGTCGTGATGAAGAAGCCATTAGAAGGGGCGCCCCCTGGCGTCCGCGCAGGATGTCTGAAATCAGAGAATGGGCCCCCACAGAATTTCGATGGAGTGGCTTCGAACGTTCGAAAGTCTTACTGGACTGCCAATTGGTGTGTGCACTCCGTAACATCCTTACTGTTTGACCACTAAGGATGTCCCTAGGAGGAAACAACAAAACAAAAAGCATAAAACTTGGGACGGAGACGCATATATATCGCATGAAGGCGACAAGTTGACGATGATAAGTGAAGATGGTAAAATGTGGGTCAGGTGCTTGATTAAAATATTACAACCTTGTCTGACTTATCATAGCATGGGAAGCACCGCTTGGAAGGGAGAGCTCCTCTGCGCGGGCTACAGTGCATATATTAGCGGGAAGGAATTCCAACTTGATTGCGAAATTTCTAGGTCGCAGCTTCCCGACATGAAAGAGATCAGTCTGCCTGAAGAGTCAACCTCCCATGTCGAAGATCCCCTACATTTTAGCGGTCAAGGGTCGACGACGAACCCATCCGTTGCTCATGAGTTTATTTCCCCTGCGTCTTTCTATGCAATACCAAAATCTAAGCCCAAAGGCCCACTGTCAGTAATATCTTCATTTACACCCCTCCCTTTGACATCGTTGTTTCTCTCAGGCACGATCCCGATGCCGCTGATGCCGTTGTTATGAAATTCCCAAGTAAAGAACATACGAAAAGGTTTAATACTTAGTATGTGGTCACCTTTTTTTTCCGCTCAAGCTTCTCAGAAAGTAGCAATCTCAATGTCGTGCCTGTTGTTTTGGACCCCATACTCTCACGGCGAATGAGGCCACACCAGAAAGAAGGTTGGCTAACCGGTGTTTCGTCGGTCAGGCTCTATTCTGAACAACTCTCACAAGGTGTCATGTTTCTGTATGAGTGTGTTATGGGCCTGAGGAAGCATGAAGGTCAAGGTTGTATTCTCGCCGATGAGATGTGAGAATCTTATCCTCATTCATTCAACTATTTTCCCACTGTACATCAATGGCAGGGGTCTCGGGAAGACGTTACAAGTGGGTTAATAAGTGCAAGCCATTCTTTTCACTTAGCTCAATTAAATGATAGACGATCGCCTTGATCTGGACATTGCTCAGTTCGTTGTTATTAGAAAAACCTCTCACTTCCCGCTCACACACCTTGCTTTATCAGAACAAAATTTATATGGTAGCAAAGAGCCAGCAGCCAAGAAAGTTCTTATCGTGTGTCCTGTGTCCTTGACTACCGTACGTCGAGAATGTCTCAAGTGAATATAAAGCTGAGGGATTATCATCTCAGAATTGGAAGGCCGAGTTCAATAAATGGCTTGGAAAAGATCGTGTCGGGGTCGTGATCTGCGAGAAAGACAAAAGCCGCGTCAACCAATTTTTTTACAAGTCAGCAGTATAGCACTCCTTTCACGCGCGATATTTTCTCATCAATCTTTTTCTTCAGCAAAAACCAGCATGTTTTGGTCATCGGTTACGAGCGGCTTCGAACAGTTATGTAAGATATGGTTAGGTGGTTAAACTGACCTTTATCTTACAAATTTCTCAGAGACACTCTTTCGTCAGGCGTGTCCGTGCAAGTCTCCCTTGTTGCAACATATCTCTTTTTAAGGAATTCTATCACATAGCCCAGCGATTGACTTGATTGTATGCGATGAAGGTATTCAATGCCTGCTTTAATCTTTGGTCTAATGGCTGACCGTGTGCGTAGGTCATAGGTTAAAGTCCGCTAACAACAAGACGACTGCTATACTCAAAGCTCTTCGAACTCCTCGACGCGTCATCCTCTCAGGTACCCCGATTCAGAATGATCTTGGAGAATTCCATGCGATGGCAAGTTTGGTGGCTCATCCCCCTTATTTTTGTTTGATTACTTGACATTATTCCGAACAGGCTGAATTTTGTAACCCCGGCTTGCTTGGTAGGTGTTCTACTTGATCAAAACATCGACTTTCATACCCATTCTGTAGATGATTACAATGTTTTCCGTCGAGTTTATGAGTCGCCAATCTTGAAGAGTCGAGCTCCAGATGCCTCTGCAAAAGAGATCGAGATTGGCGAGACACGCACAGCTCAGGTACTGAGCGAACCTGTCGCCCATTACCAGTACTCATATGAATTTCTGTTCTAAGTTGCTTTCGATTTCCAACAGTTTTGTTCTCAGGAGAGACGCCACCCTTCTCAAAAACCATCTTCCTCCCAAATGCAAGTGTAGCAATTAGGCCTATCCGCCGTTGCTTACGTGACCATGCAGATGAATACGTGGTTTTTGTCACCCCAACTGCCCTCCAATTATCTATGTTCTCAAAAATCCTCCGGCCTGACAGGCTGATTGATCTTGTGCAGAGCTCAACAGCAGAGTCTCTTGCTTTAATAAACATTTTGACGAAAATCAGCAATAGTCCAATATTATTGAAAGCGGCGGCGGATAAGGCCAAGATCAAGACAAGCGGTGATGCTCCGTACATCCTAAGAACTGGAGTTGACGAAGCATTGGGGTTACTCCCGGACACCACTCATTTTGGGGACTTTTCATTGAGCGGTAACATTTTTTCATCATAGTTCCATTGATGATGAATACCAACTTTTCGCGAACTAGGGAAGCTTATCGCTCTTGCAAAGTTATTGACCATCATCCGCCACGTATGTCCCTCCCGTTTGGTGTTTATGATTTTGACGAAGGATTAGACCACTGAAGAAAAATGCGTCCTGGTTTCTCATTATACATCGACGCTGAACATACTAGAGGCCTTCTGTCAGAAAAAGGGTTATTCGTATTACCGATTAGATGGGTGGGGAATTTCCGTTCATTACTGATTTGCATGATCACCCACGGTACGCGGACACAGGCAAACTCCGCAAGTCAAGAGACAAGAATACGTTAACGCTTTCAACAACGTGTCTCAAAGAAGTAGCTGTAAGCTACTCTTGATTGCTTTTGGAACGATTTAGACCATTTTCGAGCAGTCATATTTCTACTCAGCTCAAAAGCTGGTTGGTTTTTTCCTTTTCTCTTCGTGCTGTAAGCCAGCTTATCAACATGCGTAGGAGGGCTTGGAATCAATCTCATTGGTATGCACCCAAAGGCACTCTGCTTCAACGAAAACTGAGTGCAACATTGAAAGGTGCTTCAAGACTTTGCTTGATAGACTCCGACTGGAATCCCAGGTTAGTTGGACGGCGAACACAATTGACACCGACGCTGATTTCAGACAGTCACGATTTGCAATCTATGGCGAGATGCCACCGGTGAATAGTTTGCAACGTCAAATCTTGACTTCTCTCTTACCAGTCTACCATGTAGGGATGGACAAAAACGACCCGTGTTCATATACCGGTTCCTGACAACTGGTGCAATCGACGGTAAGAGGCGCATATACAGGAATGAATCAGTATTGAGCCTGGCTTGAATGACGAATAGAAAAAATCTATCAAAGACAAGTCACTAAACTCGGATTGAGCGCATGTAAAATTATTCCTCTCCTTGCCATTATTCGTCCTTTCTAACGTTGTGTCTTCAGCTCTCATTGGATCGGCGGTAAATATTTTTCATTGCAGAGAAAGCTGACCATCAGGCTCATCCATTCTAGGGCTCGTCGTCCGCATCTAAAACTGATTCATTTTCTCGCAAAGAGGTACATATACAGCTCCAGTTTCATTTCAAAAATTCAACCGATGTACAGCTCCGGGATATCTTTCGCATCCATCCTGACACCATATGCAACACGCATGACTTGCTCGAGTGCCAATGCGAAGAGTCGGGTGGCCGCCCCTCGGATACTTGCGAAGAAGTACAACCTGTGGACCCCAACACGGAGGATAATGTGTTGGAGAGGGGATTTATTGCAGCATCGAATGTGAAAATGGACGCGTCAGACCCTGTGGACACAGCGGTAGGTGATTGATATACAGCTCGAGTTGATAGCTGACGGGTTATTGTCTCCGTAACTTCAGAAGAAGAAAGCTGCTTTGGCGTTGCTGAGCGAATGGAAGCATATCAATTGTCAGAGATCTGGGTGTCACGACCTCATTCACGACCATGCTCTTCGCAAACTTGTGCAGGAGGGAGAGGAGGCAGGCGGAAGTATATCATTTCTGTTTGAGAAAGGGAGCGAATCATCAGAAGAGGAGTGAATGATAAATTTGTAAATAATTTGGCATGTCACTTTGCCGGAGTGGTTAACGGGATCGCCTGCTAATAAAATATTAGATAAGCGGTTGGTCTTTGACCGCGAGTGTTCGAATCGCTCAGGTGACGAATTTTTGTTTTATTGAATTAAATTAAATCTCTCCTTCTTACCGCGATGAGCGGCAATAAGTATGCAGATTTGCCAGACATCGTTCGTCTTTCGTCCTCCCTATTTTCTGCTCTGCTCATATCTCTTTCCTTTAGGACACCGCCCCCGACATCTACGAGACAGAAGACATCTTCTCATCTTCTCATCCCAACGATGGTGGCTCAAGTGACGAAGACGTCGCCATCGCTCGTACAACCGTCAAAGGCAGAACAGATTTAAACATGGGAGACGAGCTCGACCTCAGCAATTTACTTGCAACAGAGGAAGCTAGCAAGAAATTTATAAAGGCAGAGAGGAGACGTGGTTTGTTCAGGTTCTCCAGTCTACCCAGCTGATCTCTCTTACTTTCTATCGCACAGATCGGAACAAGAACCAATATACTTACCTTCATTCACCTACTTCCCCCACAGCGACCGTGAAATCACGCAATCCCCCCCTCTCTCAGAGGCTTCGTGCGTTGCAATCCGAACTGGCATCCCTTGAAGAGGAACTCTCTGATCCTTCGAATCCGTTGTTACAAAAAGAGAGAGATGAAGAGAGTCTCGACCCCGGAGAGCTTATTAGAGGTCTAGTTGACGTTCGGGGAAGGTTGGAAAAAATAAGGAAGGAAAAGGAAGGCCGAAGCAAATTAGTTGGCGTGATTATTGGCGACACTGGGAGCGTTGACCGAGGGGAACAAGACAAGGAGAATCAACGTATTGAAGATACCAAGCCATCTAGTGACAAAACTCTTCACAGCGTCGTTGACATGGATAGGCGCGTGGGAGAATTGGAGAAACTGGTGGGCGCCTCCAGCGCAACTCTGGACGAGGTATCGACCATTTCAAATGCGACATCTTTCGTGCTCACCGCCCCTTAGACCTCACCTCTTCCCTCCCCGCTTCTTCCACTGATTACGCGTCTGAATAGTCAGTTGACGCTTCTCACACAACCGCGGCATATTGACTCCATATCTCGCCGGCTTAAGCTTCTGCTATCCGATCTTGATCGTGCATCGGCTGCCCAGCACCATCGTCGACACCCCTCACAACCCATTGCCATCCCACAACCCTCTCCGCTCTCAGAGCAACTGCTCCCTCTTCTTTCCAGGCTGGGACCTTCGTTGCCGCACATTCCACATATTCTGGCACGCTTACGCACGCTCTCCATGCTGCATACTGCAGCTGCGGACTTCAAGAACTCGCTTGGAGACTTGGAACAAGACCAGAAAAAGATGCGTAGCGCCCTTGAAGAACTTGAAGAGGCCGTATGCACGATTGAGAAAAGTATGGAAGACAATCGACAAGTGGTCAAAGGGAATGTTACAGGACTGGAGGACCGAGTCAGTGTGTTGCTGAAAAGGCTTCAAGATGCACGTTTGGCTTAGCCCGCCGATCCAAATAGGGCTAATAATAGAACATCCCTTTTCTGCACAAGTTAAAGTCCTATTTCGGAACTTGGTCGCGATACTTCCCTTGGAGCTTTAAAGAGTCCCACAATGCTCACCCTCTTTGCTTTCCAACTCCTTGACGGCCCCACTTTCGTTTACTATGTACCCTTCAAATCAAGTCTTTTCTGCATTTTCCTTCATCACCGTCGTTTTGGCTTTAGTCCCTTTACCCTGGCATCTAGAAGGTGAGTCGCAGGGACTCTTTTGTTCCCAAGATGTAGGGTGACGAAAAGAGATAAAAAAACAGCATGGAACACTGGAACGTGCCTCTTCACGATATGGACAGCCTTGGCTTCCCTCAATTTCTTCATCAACTCAATCATCTGGAACGGTAACGTCGTAAATTGGGCACCAGTGTGGTGCGACATATGTCAGTACAACCCCCCTGAGCTACTTCCCTCCCCCCCCCTCTTGTACTTGATTGATCTCACGCGCCATCTGCACCAGCTGCTAAAATTATTGTTGGAAATTCTGTTGCATTCCCCGCTGCATCACTCTGTATCAACCGTCGCCTTTACCATATCGCCTGTGTTAGCCGTTGTGTCCCTCCGACAAGAGGTGAAGTAAGTTGTCTATTCAACTCCCTTAAGTAAACCGGTTTTTGATCTTCTCCATCTAGAAACTTCGTGCAGTCTGTGTTGATTTGGCGATCGGGGTCGGGATCCCCATCATCGTTATGGTTCTTCGTGCGTTGTTTATAAGTTAATTCTTAATCATTCCACTGACAACGTCATTGCGCCTAGAGTACGTGGTACAGGGTCATCGCTTCGACATCTTTGAAGATATCGGCTGTTATCCGTTTTCCTACAACACGCCCTTGACATTTGTACTCCTTGACGGCCCACCTACTGTCATTAGTATTTTCTCCGGGACCTACTCCGGTTCGTGCTCGTAATGCAGGCAGCAGTGCTGGAATTTAATTATCCCCAGTGATGACGATTCTCCTTTTTCAAAAGAGACGGACGGAATTCAAGGAAATTCTCTCGTCCAACGCAAATCTTAATTCCCGTCGATATTTTCGGCTCATGGCGTTGGCCGGAGTCCAGGTTGTGTGCAGTTTTCCGTTGACATTGGCCCTTCTCTGTATCAACGCCACTTCATTCGAAATTCGCCCATGGATATCATGGGAAGACACTCATTTTGGTAGGTCTTTCGTCAGGGAGGGCTACCTTGTCTTAGACCGTTTTAGGCTTTTCGCGTGTTGACCAATTCCCCTCCGTTGTATGGCGCAATCAAGCAACGGGGGCAATCCTGGAGTTGACACGTTGGCTCGTAGTTGCTTGTGGTTTTATTTTCTTCGCCTTTTTTGGGTTTGCGGATGAAGCACTGAAGCACTACAAGATTGCTTTTGACTCTATCGCGAGGTTTTCGACATCGAGGCTCCGTGCCAAACTTGGAACCTCAAATTCATCAACTGCCTGGTATGAAAATTCACCGTTTGGGCTTCCTTTTTTAACCAAAAATGTCTCTTGTAGGCTTGGAAAGTTCAAAGTATCGTCCGAAAACAACAGCACGGATACAGTCCTGCCAATTTGTGTTCAACGACATGTGGGGAAGTGCGATTCAAACGACACTCTTTCTGTTTTTTCTGCGAAAAAACAAAATCATCTTTTGGATGATTCTTCTCTGAAATCAACCTCGCCCTACGCCCCGGACCAATCTGACACCACCATTGTGGGAGGGCCACCGAAACCTCTGCCATCTCTGCCATCCGAGCAACACATTTCCTTCCCTATATCGCCTACAGCATCCACATCATTCCTTGATCTTTCATGTCCCAGCGATCAGGTGTAAGGTCGCCTCTTAATGCACTGGACACTTTTCGTATATCAATGTAGCCGATAATATACACATGTATTTTTACGTCCCGAAACATATCATACCTAGCGAACTGTCACTAATCTCCCGTTGAACAACTTGACAACAGTAAATACATGGTGAGGGAGTGTCGATGTTAACAGATACATTGCGAAAAAATTATAACGAATTACTCATCAATCAAAAATAAGGACCAATCACGGTACTACAGATTGTGTAGCACCTTTTGCCAAAGCCAATTTAAGTCTCTGCCGCAAAGGGTTTTCAGGTGGATTGTCAACATTAGTAGGTATGTCGAGGATATTTGTGGGCGGAACGGCGTCCAGTGAGGACGTAGGCTCTCTCGTGATCCCCACACAATCCGTGTCCACGACATCTACGATCTCACTGAGAAAGGCGACTCGAGTCCACCTCCTGTAACGGGTGTACTGAAGGAGTTGATAAAAAGGTCAGAAACAGTGATGAGGAGATGATCATATGAAGCCAACCTTCCCCATTCCACCACGACTACCTTGGCCTTCCCACTTGTTATCGCCATAAACCCAACCATCAGCGTCCGTGCTGGACTCCTCTTCAATACCGTCTTCGACATCCTCCGGCTGTCCTTCGTCAGATATTTTATCGGGGGGAGTTGAGCTGACGTTTCCTAAACTCCCTGATTCACGAAACATTCCCGCCGCCTTCAGCAAACGGCTTCCATTCGAATTATCTTCTTTGATTGCAGGAAGGGGGCGCTCAATGCGACTTAACCCGCCTCCACTTTTCCGAACCAAGACGCGCCACTCCGGTTCCTCCCATTTCCATGTTGCGGTCCGCTTTAGCGTTCGGCCATTTCCGTCTGGGAGATACACAGTGGTAATATTGGGGAGGGAGAAAGCATTTGGCGGGGAGACAGGATGTTGAGCTGCAGAACACCACGATGGGCGTTCTCCGGGCAGAAGGGCAGCGGTCCAATCCAACCCCATCCACCAACGTTGGTTCTCATAGATTGTAAAGAGAAACCGGATGGATCGAACGGGATTGGTTGAGGAGATTTTTGGTTGGAGTGAAAGGGTTCGTGACGGAAGTGGTTGCCCAGTCAAGCGCGCCCAACCAGCGTACAAAGTCCAGCGAAACCAAGCACTACGCCAAACGGTGGCACGGAGAATGGTTGCCCAAGGGGCGCGCCATGTGAGGATGACGGTTCCGACGACGGCGAAGATCACAGAAAGGGAAAGGTAGCAGGTCAAGAAAAGATAGGGAATATAAGAAAGAATGACTACGCGTAGAAGGATGCTGAGTGAGATGGCGGGCAGAGGGGCGAATTGAGGGAATAGAGATTGAATGATAGTCAAGTCTGTGATGATAGCCTGAAGGGCATACTCCGTGACGGGAGCCAGAGCATTCGACGGTCGAGCATTTTGTCGACGGTTCGTAAAAGGTAAAATTACGAGTAAAACGAGGGGTAGAAAGAAACTGTGTCGAAAACGTCAGCGGCGAGGACACGACAAGAAGATATTGAGTACCGTAGAGTTGACTTGCCCAATAAACACAGAGCCCACCAACCCCCAACTACGAGCCAGCTCTCGAACCAGGACGATCTCCAGCTAATCACCACGGCTGTCCGTTTCAGCAGCGAGATGTATGGCGCCAGGTGGATGAGTGCCGTGGTCAGCTGCGAAGGAACACTACTCAGGAAGTCGGAGAGGAGGGGAACAGCGCTCGTGGCTGCTGCAGACGACATCCCAGCCATGGAAATGATCAGGGGATGATGCAGAGCGTCGTGAATGCAGTGTATGTAGAAATCACACGAACAGTACGCCGGCGTCGCGTCAAACACGCGTCAACCTCGACGACGACGACGTCGATACCATCAACGACGAAGACCATGCCACTGACGACGACGACAACAACAAAAAACGCGCTAATAGTTCACCGTCACCAATCACTCCTTCTCCGGCTCGCTGTGTTGTCCAGAGCTGTTACCTTCATTCTCCTGCAACTCGCCGTTCGACTTGCTCTCTTTGATGCGTCGCCCCTCCTTGTCTCTGCAGGACGACCTTTCTTGCGCTGGGATACATTCCATTTTCTCCATGTTGCTGAGCAAGGATATGCTTATGAGCATGAGTGGGCCTTTTTCCCTGGCGTTCCCATCGTTATGCGTGCCATGGCCAGACTCGTCCGTCTGGTACACACCTCAGAACATCGCTCTGATCTCTTGCTGGGGGGTGTGGCCGCAGCCGTCACTTGCGATACAACTCGCACCTTTTATGCACTCTCCCTACATCATTTGCAGACTCCCCAATTAGCGTTCCTGGCTTCGCTACTCTCCTTGCTCCCCAGCAGTCCCGTCACACTACAGTATGCGCCATACAGTGAACCATTTTTTACTTATTTCTCTTACAAAGGTGAGTCACTGTTTTGTAGCCTCTTTACGTTGCTACTAAAATACTACAAAAGGCATGCTTTCTTGTGCGCGCGAGCAATGGATTCTTGCCGCCATCTTTTTTGCCATCGCCGGATCCTTCAGATCGAACGGTATCTTTCTTTCTGGATTCCTTCTCTGGGGCATGGTGATTCAGCCCTACCTTCAAAGTGGAAAAGTGACGTACTTTTGCATTCACTTTTCTTTTTTCCTTCGTTCATTCGTCTCTTTTCTCAGATGGCTCCCGGAACACTCCTTGCGTCGATCGGTCTAACCGCACTTGTAACCTCCCCTTTCATATACCATCAATACGCGGCCTTCGCTGCGTTTTGCACAACACCCATGCCCTACCCGGATTGGTGTGATCACATTCCACCGTCAATCTACACACACGTCCAATCGAAATATTGGAATGTAGGCTTCTTTCGTTATTGGGTGACTCCTCAAATCCCCAACTTCTTGATTGCAGCCCCTCCTCTCCTTGGCCTTTGTGCTTTTTCTGCTCATTACCTGACAAGAAACCTATATTCTCGCCTCTGCGCAACGTCCTCAGATAAAGATAACGATCCCTTCCTGCGTAGTTCTATTGCGCCGCATATACTCCACGCGAGTTTGATATGTGTAATTCTCCTCTTTGCCTCGCACACTCAGATTGTCCTACGTCTCGCTGCTTCCATGCCAGCGACCTACTGGGCAGCTGTTTGGCTTATGTTCGCCCATCCAGTCTGGGGTTTCTCATGGGTCTTGTGGAGCTTCTCGTGGGGTCTTATTGCCATCATCTTATGGGGTGTATTTCTCCCGCCCGCGTAACTAGTTACATTTTTGCGTAGGTCACTTCTGACTGTGCTAGCACGATGTTGAATATTGAATTGCTCATCCCTACAGAGTCAGACTGATGAAATGAACGAGTAGTAGTTACAAAGCATCACAGGATGAGAAAACAGCCTTCGGAAAACCAACGGAGAAATGCGACAGGAAAGCCATACGTTTAACAAAGTTACTTAACTATAGGAACAGACAGCATTTAATCGCTGTTTAAGCAAGTCGGAGCTAGCTGCTGCCGGGGCCGCCGTGAGTTTCTGAATAGACGCAAGATGAGCTTTGATCAGAGCATGTGTATCGTAGTAACCTCACCAATTGATAGATTCTGAGGCACAGATGACCTGGTATACGGGGAGGTAGTGACGGACGTGGAAGAGCTGGCGTATGTGGAAGAGCTGGCGTATGTAGAAGAGCTGGCGTATATGAAGCTGGCACTGGACGAAGTGTTGTTTGCAGAGATCTCCTTTGCCTTGGCCATCAATGCGGATGAGCTAAGCGCAAGATTGTATGTGGTCGGCACAGAACGCTGGTTCAGCTTGAGCCAAGGTACTTTATAACCTCCTTGTCCAATTCGAATACTCGACGCGGCGGCAATGTCGAGAATTCCAAGCGGAATGATCCCAAGAGATGCAATTGCTCCTTGGGTGAGCAAAACATTCCCGAAGGTGCCAGAGTTGACTGTGTGTCCTGGGGGTACAACAAAACTCGAAAATGGTTGTGAGAATTGAGCAAATGTCTCCCCATTTACACCCGCGTCGGACTGAACAGCCTCCAAGACAAGGTCGGCGTTCAGAGGATTGTATACCTTTTGTTCGTCAAAGATGAAAGACAGCGATGGCGGGAGAGGAAGAGCACTAACGTCAAAGTCGACTGAGACCATGTTCGTGACCAAGGAGTCCAACGTAATCGTCACAGTTATATGAGTGATCAGAGTTGGTTGATTGAACCCTAAAAATAAAAATGAATGCACAGAATGATATATATTGGTTGAGAAATACCTTTGAGATGCGTCAACAAATGGAGGTTGGACAGCGCAGATTGTAACGAGGCAAAGGGGGAGCTGACGAGGTCGCCGTGAATGGTGAGATCCAGTTGATTGTTGGTTTGGATAAATTGGGTCAAGAAACCCTAGTTCAAAACGTTAGTCATTGTCTGCACTACTCCATAAAGCTCAGTATAAGAAACCTGTGCAACCGTATCGTTTGCGTTGTCCGGTACGTAGTGAAATTCCGTTGGAATGTAGTTTCTCCCTGGCTTGAGATCAAAATTCTGGGCAAAAAAAGGGCGCATGTCGTCAGGTAGCGCGTTGCTGTGAAAAGACTTGAATGTACCGGAATGGCGGCCCGCCCAATCTTGACGCCTTGAAAGACGACTGGCAGAGTGACGTCGACGGTGCTCAAAGAAATGTTTGATGGATTTTGCAGTGCAGTTGTTAGAGGAGCAACAATATATTCGTTTCCTCCCTTCCCGCCACTGCCTGCGACTGAAACGTCGCTCAAGTCCGCTGATCCGCCAAACGAATCAATGCCTAAATGTAACAAATGGTTGAAACGAAACCGTAAGGACAGAACCAAGCTTACCTTTGAGTTGAGTCGGGACATCAAAGGGTATTCCGGATATGGGAACGTCACCGATGGAAGTTCTTGCTGTAACGTCAACAGCACCCTTCAATGTGATGCCGAGGCTTCTGCTAAGAGTGACGCCAGCAAACAAATCACCAAATGTGGCTTCATTCAAGGCTTTCAAAGGCTGGTCGCGGAAGGAAATGACAAGTTCAGCAGCATTGCCAGTCGAAATCCCGCCGTTCACGGGGGCTTTTGGTAAGTCAAGCTTAATGATTACAACATAAGCGTCGATGACATGAAACCAATAATCACTCACCTGCGCCAAGTCTGTGCCTTGAGAACTGAGAACGAGGGTTTGTCCGGATTCAACAACTTGCAACGAGAACCCGAAGGGATTTTTATAGGTGGCTAGAGTAGATTCAGAACTGGTTGGAGGTGCGAAGGTTTGGTCTTGCAACTTAAGGGTGACCTCCAAGTCATTTAGTGAGATCGATTGTATTACCTTTTATCTCGTGAGTTGCATTTCGGCAGGGTTAAGCAAAAACATGCTACCTGGAGTTTCTGGCCAGCTAGGCTAACGCTCAAAGAAAGTGACTTGAAAGCAGTACTGAGCCAGGTAACGGGCTTAATGGAGCCCGCTGGCTGAACTGAATCGCCCCTTGTTTCGAGTGTCGAGTTTTGACCAGCAAGAAAGCCAGAAAATAGGGTTCCAATAACAGCCACATCTGACCCGCTTTGGGGAACAATGCGACCACTCAGATGAGTCCTAGTCGCCATGTTTGCTTGAAGGTATAGATTCCTTGCCGATAACGCTAATGAACGTTGAGCAGCATCACTAAACGCGAGCCGGTATCCACTTACGACCGACGAATGTTCCTTGAAAGTACGTGTTAAAGGTGACCGTGCCTAAATCTATTCCAAGCTCTGTTTCCAGAATATTAATTCTTTAGAGGGGATCGATTGGGGGGATTTCTAGACGCACGTGCAACAGATGGAATAAGTGCATCGGTTTCGATGTGAATCCCGCCGGCGGGATCGTCAGACGGGAGTTGAAAATCACTTATTGTCACACCGGGAAGGCCGTTAAACGCTTTGAAAGTGACGACTTTTGAGAGGGAGACATTATGAAAGACCGTTCCGAGAGCTGTTACTCGAAGTTTCTGGGACGAAATCGTCCAGTCGAAGCTAGGGTTATGAAGCAAAAACGTTGCAAACTCTGTGAAGCTATAAATATCGTGTTGTGAGAGGCATCACTACAGTTAAAAAAATGGGGCATACAATGTCGAGTCAGTAATTGTCAGCCGAGCGTTTGTTTCGTAGTCAGGGACTCCGATATCAGCCACGGCGCAGACTAAGGTGACGGGTGAATGAGATGTTTTTAGGGAAATTCGTTCGGCTCACTAGGTTGAAGGGTGATGCGAGCAATGTCTTTCCCTTGCCAATTGACGCTAGCGCCCAAATCAGTAATGTGACGGTGGGGGTCAAATTTGCTTACGTAACAGGCTCAGTAAATGTGATGAGGGCGTCAAGAGGGCCAATATTGGTAAGAGAGCCTTTGAGTGCAAGATCGAAACCATCGTCCGAGATGTTTCTAAGAAAATGACGTCAGTGGCTTTGAGAAAGTAGGTATATTTTATACAGACGTGATATCAGCAGCGGTAAATGCCAGCTCTGAGCCATCTACAAGATGCTGGGCAATGGGTCCTGCAACTGCTCCGACCAAGAACAGAGCAGATTGATCTGTCTAAAAAATAATGACATTAATATCACGGTAGCAAGATAAAGAACATACGATAGCAGGCACGGAATTTTGATTGAAAGCAAGGTCGGTAGCGACTTCAAGACTTTCAGAAAGGACAAAAAATGTGATGGAAAATGAAGCATACAATCGTCCAACTTGACTGAGACTTCGATGTTCAGATCCACTTTGAGGCCCGACAAGGACTTCAAGATCGCGGTCGTCGCATCGAACTGTTTGCCGCTGTGAAATGGAGATGTTAACGGGAGCACTGTAGTTTTACGATCATGCACTAACCTAACACAGGTCGCCACCTGCGTATCCACAAATGATGTCACCTAAGAGGGTTTGTCAATTCAGTTTGTCTCCGGATGGAATGGTCGAATTTACGGGCGGTCTGTAATGTGGGTTACGAAGGATGAATTGGAAGAGTTCATTGAGTGGACCCAAAGAAACGTCATTTTGTTTCGATGCCAAGAGAAGCAACGCAATGATAGTTGAGGGATCGAGATTGAACTGCAGGGGTAAATTTGGAGAAGTAACATCGCTATGTCCTTTGGCTTGAATGGGATTCGGCAGCTCATTCATCTTGCTGACCATCCCAAGATTAAGGCCCTGAAACGTGGCGATAGCCCCGACTTCCAATAAGCTCATGCTAGCGGTAAATGGGTTAGAGAGAGCAAACGAGGTGGAAGCCACTCCTGTTTGAACAATGTTCGGGGGAAAGGTTAAGGAGACGCTTTTGATCAAAGTTTGGTGTAGACCGGGTATGATGACAGGTGAAAGATGAATTTGTGATAACGCAAGTTTGACAGAATCGATGGGTGTCGAATCAGTTGATCCTGAAATGCTTGTCCTGGCGTCTGTCCCTTGTAAAAAGTTTTGCAAAAGTGTCTGGCCTGCGCCTACCGCGGCTCCTCGTGGGGCATAATGCACATCTTTATCGATCATGGATTATTTGGGCATTAAATAATATTTGCAATCAAATTGGATATACGTACCGATAGGATAGCTGGCATTTCCAGGAACAACGACGAGGTTACTCTGGGAGGCTGCACGTTGAAAGCGAAGTTGAATGGGAGAGAAGTTGGTACACGCACAATGTCGGCGGAACCAATAGTTTGATCCCTTGGAGTAGAATATTTAGAATAAAAGGAATTTAAATGGGGTCCTATGGACTTACTGAAATTGTAAGGAGAAAGATACATCACCAACTCCTAAAGTTAAGTAAATGTCAGATCTAAAAAGCACGAATCAAGGGCAATTTTCCAACCAATTGTAAGATTACTGAAAGATGAGTTAGCCTATTTTATCCGCTCGAGAAAATCTCTTTACCTTGGGTTGAAAAGTGCAGCATCAACTTTGATGAGAAGGAAATCGGGAAATCCGTGATTCACATCAATATTGCCGACTATTGCAGGTCTGGCGTTTAGACCTTGCAATCCCTGGAGATTAGATTCGACGGCGAAAAGGATGTTCGTGAGGGTCAACAATCCAACCGCCGTTTGTGCGTCAGCATCAGCAGTTCCAGAAAGACTGATTGTCTGCGTTTCCCCCGCTGTCGTTGCTGCGACGAATTTACTAAAGGTCAACTGGCCGCCACTGAAGACGGTGAGCGGGACGTCCTGAAAAGCAAGATGGATGACTCTAGCCTCTACATCTGTGCTGCTAGGACCCTTGGGTATAGCGAGTTGAGCAAAATTGACTCCCTCAAACCCGATAGTAATGGTTTGTTTGAGTGCAGGAATGTCCAGAGGGAATCCAAACGGAAGGGCAAATGTGGCGTCTGTAGACTTGCTACTGGTAGAAGGGCGTTCGGACGTTTCAGGCGTGAACATCAGCTGAAGCTGATTAAGGCTGATCGATTTAATGATATTGAGAGGTCCTTGATTGGGGAGAGTGGTGGATACTCTAAGTGATTTGATACCCTCTTCGAGCCATGTGACCTGGAAAGGTTTAAGCGTCGACTTTGTATTCGAACAAAAGAAAATGACTTTGCCAGATCCAGCGCTTGAGCCTTGCACGATAACTTGGCTGTCTCTACCCTGAATAAAGTTGTTGAAAACGTCCGAAACCGATGCAAGGCCGGAAGCAGAAGTTTGAGGAAGCAAGCGACCGACAAGGGATAGATTGGATGTAGTTCCCGGCGCAAGAATGATGGTGCCTGTAGTGGTTACTGGTGCAATCATAACATCACCGACAAAGGTGTTAAAGTCAATTGAGTCGAGCTCAATTCCAACTTGGGATGGCTGAACTTGAGCTGTCAGAGGAGAGTATGTCATATCAACGAAGGTCCTTACGTTTTCTGTGATTGCTTGAAGGGTGAGATGAATACCGCCCGCGGGGTCGTTGAATGGGAGGTCAAAAGATTTAATATGGACGCCGTTTTTCAAGCCATTAAACCCCTTGAGAGTGACCCTCCTAGATGAGAATGTAATGCCAGGAATTTCGATTCCTGGAGGTGGAGTGTTACTCCGCGCATAGGTACGTCAAAGATGATGTGCGAACCAAGTGCGGTGACTTGAGTCCTTGTGTGAGCATACGGTCAACATTGAAGCCAATTGGCTCACCAGTCAAATTATTGCCTGAAATATCCCAATCAAACGATTCTTCGTTTAAGAGAATCTAGAGAGACATGCACTTTAGCTGAACGATGTCCATAGAATCTAGTGCCCACCTTTGTAAATTTTGTCAAATGGTCGACATCTGTGGCTTCGAAATCTGACCGGGAGTCGAGGCTAGCTCCAACGTCCCCCACAATGCTGATATCTTGCATCTTAATCTTACCAAGCTGCTTCCCTTGCCAGGAGATCATGAGGCCAGATGGAAACGCAATGGTCGCGTCGACTGGAGGAGGTCAAAATGATACCTTTGCGAGGGGAAAAGAAGCATACAGGGACCAGCGTTTGAGATGCTGCCTTTTAGTTGGGTGCCTGTTGGATTGTTCATCAAGTTCTGACGAAATCCCGAAAAAGCGCATTTACCAAAGGAATTTTGTTGAGGATTTGTGATGAGAACCGTATCGATTCTTGAAAAGATTATGAGAATGTAAAACTTTCCCTTTTCATGGCAGACGCTACCCGAGAACAGATTCGCCAACAACTTTTTGAACAATAGGTCGCGCTAACACGGGCAAAAGAAGATTAAGTGAATCATCAGTGGTAGTCGGAACAGAATTCTGGGTATATTGGAGGGTGGTTTTATAGTCGCCTAACGCGGTGTGAGGGAGAGGCAATGAACCAAGGGATTGTACGCTCACCAATGGTTACATCAACACTTAGTTCGACATCAGATTGGAGTTTCTTGAATGCCGTCTGCACGAACGTTGGCAAATCGAAACCACTAGCAAATGTTGACTTTATGGTGTGAAAAAATACCAGGAAACCCACGAGAATATACTGCCCCGACGTTCGGTCGAAGGTTGGTTCCCAGTAGTTGTCAAATATTGAATGCCCCCGAGTTGCACGATGGAATCGAGAGGAGCGACGTTCAGACCTGCCTCGACAGACAACGCACGGGTGACCGTGAACAGAGCGGCGGGATCAAAGTTCATATCCAAGTCCAGAGCTGGCGAAACTGTTGTCGACTTTGGGGCGGAAGTGAAGCTTGCGTTTGAGCTAATGCTTCCTAGAACTATCCCAAATGCCTTCACAATCGATGTGACTTTAGTTATCGCCAACGGAGCACTGAAGGGATTGGCAATCGAGACAGCGACATGGCTAATGTTGTTCTGGCCTGTTGTGGGTAACACTGTATATTGAAGGACATGAGCTTGAGCTCCGTTTCATCAAGTCAGATTGGTGTACCTTTCAGAGCGGCGGAATTTAAGAGGTCTGTCTTCAGGCCTGGAAGTGTCACTTGGATATCTATCGATTTGAAGGCATCCACCAGCGAAGCCATTTCAGTGCTCCCGTTGAAGCCAGCAATCACGAGTTGAACATCTGAAACACTGAGAATGAGAACCCCCTTCTGACATTTTCAGATCCGCAGTCTGTACCTCTCTTTCCGACAAAATCGTTGAGAGTTTGGAGACCTTGAGGACTATTATTCGCCTACGAGGTGTGAAGAATAAGAAAACATTATGATGGAAAGAAGTCAAATTTTGTTTACCTGAAAGTTCGAAGAAGCGGTAAGACTATTATTACCCCGTTGGAGTGTTAAACCGGGCAGGAGCGCTGTCCCCAACGCAACACCATCCCTTAACAATAGGAGAGCTTATGGGGTGTGGATGTATGGGAACGAGAGGCACTTGACTTACTTAAATCACCCGTGGCAAGATTAAGACTGGAGGGATTAAAAATGGAGACTACAGCGTAGGGTGTCAGGTCCCGAATTTAATCATTAACGGGTCGTTTTACCTTTGATACCAAGGTTAATGCCCGTCTGGGTTCCACCAGTCACGTCGACGTTCTCGATTGTTGTCATGCCTTTAAGACCCTGAAGACCCTGAAGACTGGTGGAGACGTTGACCTTGATGGGATCCAGAGTAATTTGACCGATGCTTAGATTGGCTATTGCTCGCGATTGACCCACTAGGAAGAAATTGGCTGTGTCTTGAATGGTCAGATCCGTGTCTAATCAGATTTATTTGAGTTATCGGCATATGCTTAGGGGGAAAAGAACAGACTAAACGCCGCAAAGGCGGGATGCTGTGGGTCTGGACAGCTCAAGTTTGTGGCCATGATGGTGATATTAATGATTCCTGTGGTGGCGGTGTGACTGAGGACAGAAATGGAGGACGTGGATGCCCCGAGAGGCTGGAAATAAGTGTCAAGAACATACGCCAGAACAAAGTAAGAAAATACGCACTGTGGAGAGCCCTGCTACAGCGTTGCCATTCTTTACGATGTTGAACTGGTTCTGTATTTCATCTATTGCCAAGTTGAAACCAAACGGCAATTCTAATAGAACCATGATCAGTTAAATCTTGGTTTAGCTACGTTTGGGCACATACGAAGAGAAGCCCGCACTGAGTGACTCTCTGCTGCAGGCGTCCAAGATGACTCCTTGTCAAACTTAAGACTGAGATCCCCAATTGAGATTGTTCGAATGGGATCAATCGGAGCAAACGGCTTGAAAGGTACATTGAGCTTTAAACTTTGAAGACCTTGCGAAAGCCACGAGATGGTGGAACCGTCTGATTGCAGGGTCGACTGCCCTTGAGCAATGACTGGAGAGGAATCCCCGTTGAGATAATTTGTAAATAGCTGCGAGAGGGCGGCCAAGCTCGTAGGGTCTGTCTGCTTTACTAAAATCCCACTGAGGGAGATTCGATTTGTCCCCGGCGACTGGAAGTACAAAGATAAGAAGTTGTATTGTTAAAAAAAAAATTGGATAATCACAATTATTGTATTTACACCAGTGCCTACGCCGAGCGAGGCGTTCTGGTAGGAAAGTGCGAATACGGCGGTGCCAAGACTCAGAGAGAAAGGGCTAGGTGTTACTTCAGTGACAGGGCACAACGCGATGCTTAAGCTTTCGGTACCTTGGGTTTGAGATTTCGGTTACAGCTACAAAATTGATACCTCCGCTGGGGGCGTCACTTGGAAGTTGAAGGTCACGCAGAACAATGTTGCCATCGAAACTGTTGAAGCCTTGCAGACGGTAAGCCGTAAAAAAAAATTGGTCGAATTAAATGATAACTTTACCCTTCAAAGTGAGTGTCTTGTCAAAAGATACACCTTTGGCCAACGGAAACTTGAGGGCTTGAACGCGTAAATTGTTGCTCTGCAAGCGCCAGGTGAAATTTTGTGAAGTAATCAGGTGACTGGAGAAGCGACCAAATTCTGCTTGATCGGTTATTATGAAGGTCGTGTTCTGGTCGATAATCGCCTGTTTACGCTTGGCAGAGAGTACGTCCAAGGTCATAGTGCCAAGAGGCGTCTCTGTACCACCGTCCTCAACCCAAGAGATGCGAATGGGTTCAGTAAACTGAATTTTGGCAGAAAAGATGCCTGTGTGGGTGACCTGAAAAAAAAAATTGAGATAACAATCATACTGAACATGTAGAACCATACATTTCCTTGCAGACCTAATTTGAAACTAGTAGGGGAAGGTTAATGAAGTATATGCGTCATAGAATGGGCTTACGTGGTATTCTGCGGCTGGGTGATGACAGCGACTTTGATATCAAGCTCAGAACGCTTCACCACGAGCTGTACGATAGCGCGGACCACGGGGAAGAGAACTATGAACAGGAGAGCGATGCCAAGGGGTATAATGATAATTTGGGATATGATAAACCAGCGCTTTTTATAAAATGGCTGGATAGGCGTTGGGGGGACGACGAGTGTGTCGTCCCATCCGCTCAGTGGGATAGCACGTGTGGTACCTGCGGGGATGTCTGCGTTTGCTAAATGTATGCGTGTAAGAAAAGGGCGATTGAGAAGATGGAAAGGAAAACTCACGTCTGAGAGACGCGTTTGAAGCCAAGCTGAGGGTGCTCCGTCGTGTGGGGTCCATAATTTGGAGCGTATGGAAACATTGTGGGGTGGTCGCTGGTTATATGTATCCAACATGGTAGAATTCCAGAATAGGGCGATGATCTGTGATGGGCACATCTTGGAACAAAATGGATGCATATGGGCGCAAGAATCAACCGCCAATTTCGACACACCGGGGTGTCACGCGGGTCACGCAGGTGGGGCTCCATGGGGCATGCTGGTCGGGGAGTCTTAATTTATTAATTACAATTTTAATAATCAAATAACACACTCTTCGCTCAATTCTCCTTCCTCTTTTTCTTGCGCATTGGCCTCTGTTTTCATCTTGAGTGATGCCGTGTCGCTGAGACTAGAATCCCGCGACTCTGGCGAGTCTCGTGATTCTCGGTCTCGTGATTCTGGTCTTCTTGTCGACCTCGTTAAACGAGTGGTTGCAAACCGCTGTAATCTTCGCTCAGTGTTCGTCTCATCAGGTCCAGGTGTTGCATCCGTCGCAGCCGCCTCTATTTCCGTAGGTGATTCCTCGTCTGCATTGGCTGCACCTCTCAGCAACCTACTCCGCTTCGCCGGATATGTTGCGTCACCGTCCTCGACTTCCTTCCGCTTTCTTTTCGCACCCCCCGCCCTTCGCTTCCTGGGGCTCGGCCTTTCTTTCACTTCTCGCGCAGCTACTGCTGCAATACTGCTGACCGTTGGAATCGGAACTGCCATATCTTCTTCAAGTTCTCGGAGCTTCGCCACAGGACGCCGCGTCCGTCCGGAGAGCCGCCTACTCGATTCATCTGTCAGAGTGGGAATCGGGAGCCCGTAAGCGGATGGGTCAAGAAGAGGCAGCGACAAGGCCAGACGTCCCAGTGGATGGTAAAGAGGAAGGGTTCGGGATACTGGGCATTTTCTTGTTTTGCGACGTTGTGTATCACAATATATTATGCCCTCAGTTATTTCTGGTGGTAGGGGTGAAGACCTCGAAGCAAGCTCGGGACTTGCACATGATTGCACATTGGAAGATCTCGTCGCTGGAACTAACAGATCTTCTACTCCAGATGGCGATTTGTATGTAAATTGGGGCTTTCGGCGTACCCGCATCTCAGCCGTGATTTAGTTCTATGGGACGATTAAGAAAATGTTTGATAACGAGAAACTTGGATCCGCGTACCAGTTTTGCTCAAGTCGTATGACCCACCAAAGCTACTCTCCTTGATATCAATCGTTGTGCAGAGATGGGGGTCGCGTTAGATAACAACAAAGGCCAAAATCAATTTATTAGCCTGCACGTGATCTTCCAAATTGACGCGCTGAAACGTTGAAGCTTAAGCTTACAATTTAAAAGTCCAAGTGGTCGTAAATCTTATTTACACAAGGAGGTACAGAGTGTGTAAAGGGTGAGGCATGATACTAGAGTATTAGGTTGACGAGCCCGTTGACGAGAGAAGGCTGCCCAATGCCAAAAGGTGTTTCTCGCAGATTGCAGAGAAATAGAACTCGTGCTCGGAATTATGTGGCTGCACAAGGTTGTGCGCAATTTCGTGCGCGAGTGTAAAATACCTGGTGTTAGTGCATAAAAAGCCAAAATACAACGTGGGCGGGTGACATACCACGAAATATAAGCCGACTCTAATGAGCCCTTTTGGACGTCGTTGTCGTCTGTTGGGAAATAATTGTCAACGTTATACCTCCTAGTTATAACTTGAACTTACGCCAACATTCGTAGTAGCGTAGATTTAAAAAAACGCTGCCGTTCCGATTGAAGGCGATCAGTCCACCTTCTAGATCATAGAATATGTGCAAACTTGTGAGCGGAAGCTGATAAAGATGCGCCAAGGATGTCATGAGGTCAACGAATCTTGCAAGAGACCCTCTCTTTTGCTGCATAAAGTGTTGTGCTTGTGAAGCAACAAGTTCTGGGAAGTGACAGTCAAGAAAAATGCGAATGCGATAGCATCACATTCTTACCTTCCGACAGGTAAACCTTGACGTTACCCATTTCGCCTGACAATCAATCAAATTAAATGACCACAGTCCAGAAAAAAAACCTACCAATGACAATTAAATTTCCCACTCGTCCAGATATATCGCAATACCCTTCCTCCAGAGTCTCCTTTACTTGAAGCATTTTTTCCCGATTCCGAATCAAATTACCCGACTCTGGTCTGCATGCTTTGATGGCCATTTCGATGTTCGATACTATTTGGAGCAGACGTTAAATCTGAACAAAGGACGAGTTTAATTCAGAGACGAACAGATGTTGCTTTTAGGTGCAACATGGGGGCCAGCAGGTCGTTCAAAACGCATAGGTTGCTCAGAAGATTTCAGTGGATCCACGGGTGAAGGTGAAACTGGACGTTGCGGCAGATGCGTCTGCAGGTCTTGCTCGCTGGCAGATGGTGTCTTTGCGCTTTGAGCGGCATTGAGGGAAGTTCCAATTTTTCGCCTGAAGCTCTGGAAAGAATTCAACACAGAGGCAGATGGGGTGGGCTTATTCTCAAACCCTCCCGGAACCGTAAGGCGCCTTTCTTTATCGAGGGATGGCTCCGATACAAATTGTGAACCACTGGCAAAGACGTCGATGTCAGATGCCATTGTACCCTTTTGGAGGGCTTGTGCGTCCTCTATAGCTTGTCGCTCCGCCTTTTGATGACGCAAAATCCGGTCGACTGGAAGAAAACATGATCATTTAATTATAAAGAAGTTGGTCGAGGGTGCAAACCGTTATATCCCCTTCGCTTAAGTGAACGAAGATCGGTCGAAAGAATGGTCATAAACAGCAGCGCATCATTTGCTTTGGGTTCGTTGAACAGTAGACGGTTCAGAGAGGTTGCGACTCTGTATCACATTAATGCTATGTTGAGGCGTCTGGCACTGTTCCTACTCACTCATACATGTCCAGCTGTGAGTTTCCTGCAAGCCATAATTGAATAGCTCCAGTACCAAAACGTTTTGCTACGGCGGATGCATCATCCTTGCGAGAGAGTCGCAACTCGGCAAATGTCAATGATTTTGTGATTGAAATTTTTCTAAATGTTTTCACAATAAAGTTTCCTTCGGTTGCCAACCAGGTATACGAGACCAGTGTGCGTGCATGCGTATGCTCATGCAGGAATAAGGGAAGTCTTTCCAAGATCAGAGCTCGGGTTTCATGCGAGATCTTGGACTGAGCTAGTTCCGCAGACGTTTGATATTCTTCCTTCACTAGAGAGCTAAGCCGTCTAGATCCAAGCTGAATATAAAAGTCTGAAAGAAGAACTTAGTAATGTTCGAATGTCATGTTGGGAAAGTAACCTTCTAGAATATCTTCCTGTGGAGCAATAAATAATGAGTCACCAAACACTTGGTATGCGTGCGTGTCGTCTGATATGATAATCTGATCAGGTTTTTTCAAGTCGTATACGACGTTCCATTCATCTTCATCTAAATCGTCAACATCATTTTCCCTGGGTATCTTCTTCGCTTTGCGTTGGGAACCCAGCAAGACCGACGAATGCGTCATCTTTGCAATGGTTCCTGCGGAGATCATCCTGCTGTTAATGGCTATGTTACGGAGCTCGGCGAGGTAGCTGAAGGAGGAAGGATCACGAATGCCGCAAGGAAAATGAAAGATGAGGGACGAACTGGCTTGGTCCTTGGGCAAGCTTGTAAAACTCGCGGGGATCTGCCAGCAGTTTCTTTGCAATTTCCTCAACACTGGGTTCATGCCTTGCGCCACAAGCAATTAAGAAGGTATTCGCAGCACCGCCAAAATCCACAAAAACGAATAGTTTGGAGTGAAATCGATCCTTTGCTTCCCCACCTAAGTAACATTGCGTTGGGGATAAATGTCGCACACAAGGCCCTTCTAACCCGTTCTCAGAGCAAACGGGTACAAATGAAACTTGTGACAATGACTTCAAGTGGGCGGCGCTGAAAACTGTTCACCCAGTTCAAGAACAAATTGACAACAGGGGTGAAAGAAAGTCACCGTTAACCCTGCCTGACAATACCGCAAACCAGGCCTTAGCTTCTGCTTTACTTGCAGGCCGTCTCTTTTGGAGAAAAGTTGTCAACTGGGAGGCTGAAGGGTGTTCCTTCAGTTTCAGTTTGACCGCGTTGCGTTGAATTTTCGGCGACGCAATCAAAAAGCCTAAAGAGGCCCATTGTGCATTGGAAAAAACCTCATTGGGCTGTGTCAAAAAAGGAATGGACACATTCAAAGCAAATCACACCTCCTTGGGAGAGCCGAGGCACATTTCAGTCCCATTCAAGGCCGGTATGAAATGGATATCATCGAAATTAGTAGGGTCGTATTCTTGATACCTTGTGGATAAGTTGTCTATGAGATAGTTCAAGGCAGAAGTATGAAGCTGTAAAGGGCGGTGAGCGAGGGGATTGGAAAGGATCAAGTAAGCCTGACCTCTGAATCCTGGCTAGCGCAAAGGGCGATGACGGTTTTCAATGGTGGATAGCGCTGCAACCCGAGTTCAAACAGCAATTTCGCTGTATGGGTGTTAGTTCGTGGTCGGTCGTTCAGTTGACGTAGCCACCTTCATCCGAAGAGCTGCGCCACTTTGTCTGAGTTCCCCAATCAATCACTGGGAGGCCAAGCTGACGGAAAATCTCCAAAGGCTCGTACAGATCTTTGGCTTGACATCTTACACGTTTGACCTCACCACTATCAGACTCAGAGCTATTTTCCTTGGGGAACGCGGCAGTGACCTTGAGCCGATCCACCTCTTCCGCAGTAAGTGTAGCCTTTACAGTCACAAGATATTTCGTGAGGTCTGCAATTGTCCACTCATTCGTCTTGATCATTCTGCGGAAATATATAGTATATGAGGTCCTCTAATCTTTCAAAACATGAAAACTGACCTGTTGAAGATGATTTGGAGGTCAACATGATTGCGCACAGCAAGAGCTTGGAGAAGTTTTTCCATCGGTCCCTTGATGGCATTTCCGGACGGAAGAACTGCGACTGGCAAGTCATGAAATATATTTGCATTGGGGAAATACGACTGGTCGGGTGTCCTCATCCCGGCTGAAGTGGGAATGCATGTTATGTCTTCCAGTAAAAGGAAAACCTCATTCTTGGATTGACTGGACAAGGTAGGCCAACTGCGAGCCAGAACAAGTAACACGCGCTCCGCCCAAGGAGCTGATTTACTGAGGTCGTAATCTACGTGAAATTTCCCCGTTGCTGGTTTACTGATGTAGTTGAGCCATTGTATGACGGTTAGCTCTGTCCACGGGAAAGACGTAATGACGGTTTCTAGTTTGAGGGCTTTGCTGATACCGACCGGCAATAAGTGGTTTGGTAAAGGCCCGTCTAACGGGACCGTCCCGCCCAGGGATCGTGGATTGATAAATGTTCTGATATGGGAAAGAGGGGTAACCTTTTCCTCCTTTCCAGCTTCGCCATTCGTCAATATGGCTGCATCGAGAAGCTGTGATCGAATGGGCAAGAGTCTGGAGCTGTCGTCCTTCTCGTACACACCAGCCCACCAAGAAAGGCACGCTATCATCTCGTCCTCCTTCAGCGGGCGTGAACGGAGCTCGTTCAGGATATCATCAAAGGTAATGTTCTTAATGAGTCCTCGATTATGCAAAGATGTCGTTATGGATTGTGCACCGGAGAAGACTTCGTCAGGAAGGACCGGCAAATTTTTCAGGAAGCTGGAGAAAGTTGAATCGGGAAGGCGAACTTTGGAGGACTGTTGGACACCCTGGGTAGAGAGGATAGAAAACTGGTTATTAGAGGAGCATGAGAAGAAAGCAGCTTCTAGGACGTTTGAAACTTCGGCTGAAGGAGTTGACGGATGAAATGTAAAAAACTTGAGAGCATGTAAACCACGGCTCCAGAGATGTCTCCGAATATCGTCATTTAAATCCCCCGCATTTTCCCAGAGTTGCTTGACCTCCGCTAGTTCAAACTCATATGCGGATCTTGCTAAAAATCCTCCAACATACAAAAGTTCCTTGTTCCAGACTGAAATAATTAGTCCATTTTTATAAGGATTAAGTTCAATGCTTACGAGAAACGTTACGATCCCTGGTAATGCTGATTAATAGAATTGAGGGGATATTTGCAAAGATACTGACATGAAATCAATCGATTCTCGTTCAACCGTAGGAATAAAGCGTGCTGCCACATGTCCTCCAACCCCAGTGGTCTGAGCAGTGGCATGTCCCTATGTAATTTTGATTAAAAAAACTAGAAGCATTATCTGAATATGGATAGATGCTTACGATGAAGACGCGGGCGGCGCCTACTCTGGGAAATGGGGCGAAAATCAATAACCAACTGCGCGTAAACTTTCACGATAAACACACCCGTCAATATCAGCACGAAGGCCTTGAAAAATGCTTCCTGTCCCAAACTGTTGTTGCTTGTCTTCCTCTTTGCTTGAATCATACTCGGCCTTCCCCGTCTGGACGATGTTCATCAAATCAGATGCAACCGAACGACAAAACATTGCGCACATAGATGAGCTCAAATTTCATATTTGTAGGAGGGTTCTTTTTTGTGGACCGATATAGTTCCGTCGCAACCCTCTTTTCCAGTTGTACGCCGATATGGGCGGAAAATATCGTTAGGGACACGCTTGTTTCGTTGATCTCACGGGCGTCGAATACCGTTGCAGGTTCGGAAGGTAAAGCTACGTTCGTTCGCTGAATCGTTGTGCCACCAGAAAGTGAACTGAAGAGCGATGAAAAGAAGCTTCCTTGGCCAATAATCTTGGCCGGTTTTGCGGGTGCGGTTGTTCGGAATTTTTCAGACCCTGATGTGTATACCCATTTCATGACTTCCGCTTGTATATGAAGTGCTGTAGGTAGAAATTTAGTCGAGACAGTGGTAGACAGACAAGAATCTCATACGGGTAGACTTGATACTCTTTACAGCCATTGTTCTTAAAGGGCTAACACCATTCAGGAATTGTGGTATTCCGATGTCCCTTGGAATACCGGAAGACTTTTTCAATCTCACCAGACAGCTGTCATCAAAGTAAACTGAAATTTGTGATAGATGTGTCATGAAGGTGATAGATGAGGAAAGAAAGCGGGCAAAGTCGAAGGCAACTGGAATAGGAGCAGGTTCCCGGAGTTTCATTTCAAACGTAGTCCATTGTTGCGTCTCAGAATCCTCAAGTTGGCCACGCCGCGCGAAAAGCTAAACAATGCATCACCATGAATATAAAATACCATAATGGAAATCTAACCTGATCTTTCTTATCCTTCCAATAAAATGCCATCCATTGACCTACAAAACATTCAAATCTTTCAAGAAATTCAAAATTCCTTGGTCGCACCTCCTGAGGTTACGAATGGCTCTTCCGTAACTGAAAATAAGCTGTAAAACCCTTCAAAACAGTGAGGAGAGATTGTGTGAGCAAAATGCATTAAGAAGCTTACCTACACCAAAGGCACCAATTTTTTCTTCATCGGGGTTACCTTCCGCTGAACGACTTGATCAGGCGTGACAGAAGTTATAGACGAACTGTGGCTAACCAATCTTCTTCAAGCGGTTCCAATCCTCGTCTCTGAATACAATTCCGTTGTTCTTAAATGTCCATTGATGCACCTGACACACTGTTAAGTCGACTTCAGGCGATAGTTAAAGGACGTACGACAGATGTTTTCAAGTCAGGTAAAGAATTGTCGAGTGCGGCGGAGGTAGCAAGATTCCCCATTCTTCCGTCAATGAATGACCTTGTCTCAAACCTAATCTCCACATTTTTCGATTGCGCATCATCCGAATTTTGTAAGAGTTCCCGAAAGACCGTGAATTCGCCAGAATATCTTGCAAGGACTTTGTCGATGAGAGCCCTTTGATTGACTTCTACTGATTCATCGTAACCGCTTTCCCACTGTTACGAAACAGAGGTCAATATGGGACGGGATACTGTGAGGATTACACATACAAGGGCATCTCTCGTTGACATGGTCTCAAGGACATCCAGCGGTTAGTTACGTAATCGACGCAACTTGAACGTCAACGTTCACGTTTTCTTGCTTGTTTTGCGCTGGGTAGTAAAAGCGGAAGAATTTGTCAAGATACTTTCAACACTACATCAAGTATTAAATTTTTTTGGCAAGAAGGTACCTCGAATGCTCCCAGAGGTGAGGCTGCTCGAAGTTCGGCAAAAAAATTGTTGCGCCCTTCAGGCGCCCATGATCTAGCCCAATAGCCACACAACAAAACGAATATCGTTAAATCCCGTAGATAAAGCTTAAGGTGGCTCAAGTATTTCTATCACAATGAAAGGCTCATTCCCAAACTTCATAGTTTTTTTTTCCAGCTGAAAAATCGACTGAGCGCCGTGAGCGTCGAATCTTGAGGATTCTAGGAAAACGGGGGATTCGACATTATGCATTGCGAGAATGTCGACTGTACTTCTTTCTCTACGTTGATTATGGTAATGACTGGATTGTGGATCAGTTGGGTATTAGATTGCTGCTACTAAGAAAATTTTCCATGGTCCATCGTGAAGAGAACGAGGGGAGACAAAAAAACAAGGCTGGTATGCGTGAATGACATGGAATGGATGGTATAGGGTAATCGAATGAGGCGCTTGCAACGCAAGTAATGATGGTGGGCGTGAGGGTGGACTCGTTTTCAAAACTTTGCAGATGGGTCAAGTGGACCCAACGGGCCGTACCGCTCTGAAAGTCCGTTGTCACCAGGGGACATATTAGCCGAAGACCAGCCACGTCCCTCCCCGCTCATATTGATCGTGGGCGAGGTAGGGGACAATGCATTTGGGGGATAGTTAAGACCCGGCGACCCAGACCTTGATAGCGGTGAATATCCGTTACCGCTCACGTTCATCAGTTGCGTCGTCGACCCGTCTGTCAATTGGAATCGTGGCGCATATGTCGAAACTGGTGGTGTTGATTGACCGTCGAAACCCATTTCCAGCATGGCCTCCAACTCAGCACCGTCCAAAGTCTTCGCTGTTTCTAAAGCATCACCAGGAGGAAGCGAAAGCCCAACAGGAGGTGGAGGGAATTGCGCATTATGTTCATTGTAACCACCGATCTGCGTGCCCCAATGATCGTCATCCGAAGAGTTAAGCGAGAAAGTATCTGATCCATCATACTGGCTTCGGGTGTCTGGGGCAGAAAGAAAGTCCCGGTCACCAGAAAAGTATCCCGAAGGATGTGATCTCTCGAAATCTCTCCTGCGTCTCTCTTCACGCTTCAACTTCCTCAGTCTTGATCGCTCCCAATCCTCCCATCGTCGCATTGGAACTGCAGGCGCGGTTACACGACCACCTCCGTCGCCATGACCTTCATCCTTCGCCTCACCCTCAACTTTCCTGCGTTGCATTGGTCAACCTTATGGAATAAAGTGAACAAAGTTCTCTGAAATGCATACCTTGTCTCACCCCAGGAAAAATCATCGAAATGCCAAAACGCATACAAAGGCAACACAAAATTCCATATCGGCAAAGCCAGGAGGTAGATCAACATCCAAAACACATAAACCACCTTCCTTGTCGTGATAAGAATCAACACTGCTGGAAGACCCAGGACCGCAACAAGGAGCATGAGCGGAATTGCCTCCTCAAACGACTTTGGCGGCTTTAGTGCGATGCCAACAATCAAGGAATACGTCAGTGTGATGGCGATGGGGAGGACAACTGTTCCAAGGAGATCCATAAAGACAACGAACTGCATGCTGAAACAGAATGTTCCACATAAATTGCGAACAAGGACAAGTTCCATCAGATTGTGGATTGTAGAGTTGATCCATCGGCGACGTTGAGACAAAAGGATGGAAAAAGTATCGGGAACAATGGTTCTGCACCTTGCTTGAGGTAAGAACATCATTTTCCTATTGGGAAACGTCCGAAGAAGAATGGTAGTCAAAAAGCGATCTTCACCAAGCAACAATAAGTTCTTTTGGTGAAGTGTGGTCACTTCATTCTGACTGTACTCCTTCACAATCTCGGGTTTGATGATGAGGGGAATCCAGTCATCTCCAGATGTTTTTCGAGCCTTCAAACGAAACATGGAAAAGCAACCAGGAAGACAAGAAACGCCGCCAAAGACGGATTCAAAAGCCTTGGCAAGATGATGGGAGATGAAATACTCAAAGACCTGGATTGCAGTGACCCAAGATTGTCGTTTATTTGCTATTCTTGTCTCTCCACAAACTCCCATAATCATCTGGTCGTGGTGCATGCAATTGACTAGATGTCCCAACGACGAGGGGAATACTTTGGTGTCAGCGTCCACCTGAAAGAAAAAAAACCCCCATTGAGCGACTGTCCAATTTAAACCAGAGTACACCCACCATGAGACAAACTTCGAAAAAGTCAGGTGTAACGCCCATGAGGATATGGATCTTGCGAAATAAATCAAAATCAAGAGGAGTCATACGATCGTTGTACGTGACGCGAGAGAAAAAATTCATGAGAATCAACTGGCTGTCCCGCTTTCCACGATTGCCAGGTTTCTTGTCGGTCGCGGCTTCTGCCTCCGTGCCACATTTGACGACGATAACAGTCGGAGTGCGACAACCAGCCACAGCTATAAAATGAAACTATGTGGGACAACGTTCAGGAGCAACTGAGAGAAAACATACTATAGTGACCAGCATATACCATAGCTCTATTTTGTGCCTTTCCGCCTGAGCCAACGGCATTATAGCTCATAGGTATAGGGTTTCCAAACCGGGGATCTGCTTCGAGTAATCCAACGCAGATGTCGGGCGTGCTTCTCTTTTCGCCAGCGCCTGTAATCATGCCATCCGCAACCACAAATAACAGCTTTCTGGCGTCAGAGTACGTGGTTGTCGATATGGAGTCCAATGTGGTTCGAAGAGATTCCTCGCCTTCCGAGTAACATGTTACTAGGCACACGGCGAATAGCTCGGCGCCGATCTGGGCGAGGCTCATGATAGGGGTGCTCTCCGAGTTGGTCAGGGTCGCACTGGATGAGGAAGCGATTGAGCGGCCAGATTTAACAGGTTTGTTCAGCTTTTTATGTCCACCCGCCCACGGTGCAGTGCCGTTCCTGTTATCAACGGAAACATTGGCACCCTCTGGCATGACAGCTGGACTAATTGCGGAACGATTGAGTTCCTGGCTGTTTGGGGGGCCAGCCAGATGCTCTGAAAGAAACCAGTTGAAGACGCAGGCCATGACAAAACGGACAAACACGAGGCCAAGAATGACAATTAATCCTGCGTAGAGAAAAAGACTGGAGACAAAGCAACCTGGGGTGACTTTGTCGATGTTCCCTGCATAGTAGCGCTGCTTGATGCACGGGACTGCAGATTTGAGGTCTGCGCGACTGTAAAACAAACGAGTGGCATCTTTTCCGCTGGTACTGGATCGCATGACGGTGCGAATGGCTGTGTCCACATTGTCTGATGGAACGGCATTTGGGTGGAGGAGCATGTAGGGTGCAAGGTTGAGGACGACCCCGTCAAGCACAAAGTAATTTGGGAGAGAAGTGACGAGGTCCCAGGAATAGCCCGCAAGAAAGCCTGTATTTGTGAGGGAGAGGGACTGATAGGTTGAGGAAGCGTTGATTGCGGGAAGGGGGCAGGGGGTCGCGGTGGAACACGGGGCATCTCGAGCGATACGAAAAGTGAGAGTATTACAGGCGGCGAACTGAGATGCATCACGGGTAAAGAGATAAGTGATGTCGAGGTCAGGGAACTTTGCGAGGGTGAGCAGGTCAGTGCCGGTTGGTGATTTGGCGGAAGAAGCATTGAAGATATGGCCTTGAACACCCAGGGTACCTTTCAAAGAGCCGACGCGAGAAAACCGACGATCTGACTGGGCGGACTCTGGACAAAGCACCTTTTGGAAACCGACTGTCGCGAAGCCAACACCACAACAGAGGAGGGCGATGATGAAGCATAAAGCAATCTTCTCTCTCCAAGCCTGACGAACTGCCTTATCTTTGAGACCACCGAGAGAACTGAGAAGAAAGTCTGGGGCCCAAAAGGAAACTATTCTAGAGAATATACGCCACGGTGTCGAACCTTGGTAAGTGGGATTTGCGAGAGGGCTGGAGGGAGATGGAAGAGATGGTGGATTTATTAGAGGAACAGGCGCGACTCCACGCTCTGGCTTTGTGAGAGTTTTTGCTCGACGTATAGTTGCGCCAGAGGGAGGGGGTTGTCGAGTGGTAGGAATGGGGACATCAGTAAAATCGTAGTTGGACTGAAAACGAAGGGCCATTTAGGCGCTTGAAGGAGTGAGTAAAAGACTGTGAGAGGAAGTCTTGCCGAGTGGGAAGGAAGGAGGAAGAGAAGGAGGGAGTAGCGGGAGGAGTAACCGAGTAATAGACGGAGGGAGGGAGACAGCAAGTGAGCACGTGACTAGTTGACGACGACGACCGTTGTTAATTCACAACGTTCATCCATGGACCAACATGGAACCATTCCTTCTCGCTCACCTCGCTTCTCAACACCATAACAGCGAATACAATATCCTCAAATTCGGAGCAAAGGGTACATACATTGATATTATATCTATAAATCCACATCTTAATTTTCAATAGGCTCTCCTGTTCGCTATCTTCCCTTGTCCCTTCACTTGCCAGATCAGTTTAGACTTCTTCGTGCCCATCAACTCACAAACGCCCTCAATAAATCATGGTGGCCTTCCGATAAATCTTGCTGGAATACTGCCCTTCTTCTCGGTCCCTCTGGCATCACTGACCATCCAGATTCGCCCAAAGCTGTCCTTCTCTCCCGCAAACTCTCTGCTGCCATTCAAGATTCCCTTCATCCACTTTCATTTTCCTTCAAGACTTCTTCATCTCATCCCATAAAGTTTGTCCCAATTCACATATTATATAATAACATCTATTCAACTTAACAGCATCTCCTCCATTATCTCCTCAGACCTCGTCCCTTTGATTTCCTCTCATGCACTTCTTTCATCCTCTCCTCGTCCCTTTCCTACAGTTCTCCACTTACCCCCCACCTTTACCCTCGATCGTTTTTTCGTCTCTCGACAATCTCAGTCTCATACCCTGACCCTCCCCTCTCATACCCAGCCCTTGCCTGCATCTGTCATCGTCCCACTGCATTTAAATCCTCCCTTTTGTACTACGATATCCCGAACTTTGCAATCCGCTCTCAGTAATCGTCTCGCCGCTGTCCATATCGAAACCTGCGACCGAGATCCATCCGACTATTCTGACCAACCCCAGCAAAGCCCGTTGGAAGCAGTTTTTTCAGACAATTCTCTCTCGCTCTCCCTTTCTTCCAGTCTTCTGCCGCCGTCCAGTGTAAAGATTTCATCTTGTCATCCTGTGGCCTGGTCTGATGAACTTGAAAAGATCAGTGCTCGTCCTCCAACCAGGACTATCAGTCTTGGCCGTCTGTCAAGCCAACCGTTAGGCCATTCTTATCCGTGCAAGGCAAGCCCTGGACGTCTTTGGAAGAGCGATACTTTTACCATAGGCGATCTTTTCTTGTCCTCTTGTCCCGGAAAAAAAGGTAGACTTGTCATCCATCCCATCGCGAACTCATGCTCAAATTCATCTCCCGTTCAGTACGACTGCAAGGGCCTGTGAAAGGCAGAGGTGGCGTATGCCGGGATCTCGAGGCAGACCTGAATAGAATAAAGCAATCAGGGGCTGGTTGTATCGTTTGGTAAGCTTTCGTTCATATTCTGTTCTTTTACCCCAACTCTTTTACCTCTAGCTGTTTAGATGACAGTGAACTCGATTTTCTTGGGGCCCCTTGGCCAGAATACGAAAGGTGTGCAAGTAATGCCGGGATCGATGTGCTGCGGTATATACTTGAAAATGTCTAGTTCCCACCGGTTTTCCTTACGCACCAATTCGTTACAGTTTACCCATTCCAGAAGGACTTGCTCCCCTCACTGCTGCCCATCTTGATTCTCACCTAACAGATCTGATCAATCGATATACACTTCAGGGTGTGCCGATTCTTGTTCATTGTCGTGGTGGTGTAGGTCGAGCAGGGGTTATTGCCTGCTGTTGGATTATGAAGCTTGGCTTGTGTGGGTGGATCGATGAGGTGCAAAAACCTTCAATACCTCAAACTTACACTCAAGGAACCTCCATGGTCACGGAAGAAACCCTGCACTTTATAGAAAAGGTGATCACGCTAGTAAGGAGGAGAAGAAGTGTTAAAGCGGTGGAGACATACGAACAAGTAAAGTTTTTAGTCGACTTTGTTGAATTTCTTCGACAGCGTTCTAAAGCAAAAGAGTGACGTCTTTTTTTTTTTCTTTCCAATATCCTTCAGAATCCTTGTACTTTCGGGTTCAAGTCGCGGCGAGTTCGACAACAAGAGTAAACAACTGATTCAACATGTCCCTAGTCAAAAGTCGCTTAAAGGCTGCTCGGGATTGTTTAGCGAAAAAAGACTACTTGAACGCCAAGGATGCGGCGTCAAAAGCCCTTGAACACGAGCCAGACAACTATACCGCGTAAATCAAACCCGCCTTCCTTGCTAGTTTACCCTGAAGAAGATACATAGACATGTGTTCCTTGCTCTTGCGTTGATGGAGAGCGGGGATCTCGAGGAAAGCGAGAAAGTAATTTTGCGATCACTAGTCCCAACCGTCATAGGGAAATTCACTTGAATCAGGTTTATCGCAGGGCCACCGAGTTGAATCCGGATCAAGTTCTAGCATGGCAGGTTCGCCCCTCTGATCTCCTTTTAATTGACCCAGATGAATTCTTGGAAAGGGCTTGTCCAAATTTTATGAACTGAATAACAAGTGGGACCGATACTTCGATACTTTGACAATCCTGTTGAAGCTGTACAGCGGATTGTACGTGCTTCTTTTACTCTGGGAGGTTCAAGCCAGCTTGATTTGCGTTGTTCATGCAGGCAGGATGCACAGAAATCTGCGGACACCTTGCAAAGGCTGCTTGAATCGTACAGACAACATGGCACACGTATGCAGGTATGGTTTCTTTTATTCCTTTTCTTCAATTTCAATCTCATAATGCGTAGGTGGCGAATGGATTGTCGCTTTTACTCCCTGGGTCCCCTTTCTTTTCACTACTTGCGACACTTCCAGCCCCTGATCCTACACATCCCACATCCGCGACTGTGACTCCTCAGGCCGCAGTTCACAATACGCTTCCCATCCTCGAAGAGGTGATTTCGTTGACAGAGGCGGAAGAAGAGGGAGTTTTCAAGAGAGAGATCGAGAAGCGCAGAACTCGATTAGGTGCCTCGAGTCCGGAGCAGCTGAGGAAGGAGGTGTTCAAAGAGATATCTACGGAATCAAAAGTTTGCATTCTTCTTCAGAAATTTCTAGTCCTCCTAAATTCGGTTCTAGTTGCCCATCTTCTACCATGAAGTTCTGAATCATCCCAACACGTCAGATGATCTACGTCGCCTCACGGAATCGAAACTTCTACGATATAAGCAACGGCAACTTCACTCTTTGCCGAATACTGCTGACTTGGTTGGGATTAAAGCAAAGCTTGTGACCGAGATCAACAATCTTGTTGATGGCGTCATATTATTACAAGTTCCCGATGAGCTAGCTTGGACAATGTTTTTTGAAAAGTGTGACTGTGAAGACATATGTGAGTCATCGCCATTTCCACCTTTGACCTATCTCATTGTTAAAACTTAGCTGGTTACGGGACTGAAGTCGTTGCACAATTCATAACACTATTTGCCAAATCACCAATGACAGCCCTTTTCAAAGGTTACCTTCGCTATCGAGGGGTACCTTTCATAACCGGACATGAGGCTCTTTCTGACGATTCAGAAGATCCTCTTGATGTTATCTTTGTGGGTTTTTGTTGGTACATTCTTTTGACGGCATTAACGCCATTTAGAACGCTTATCCCGCAGTTTCGCATACCATTTTTGCCAATCGCATTGTGAGCGACGTATATCTGGCTGATGGTGATTATGAGAAAACTGTGAAAGCAGCAAAACAAGGCTTAGCGTGTTTGGATGGTTTTCAGGTCGACACTGGTATGCATCTACAAAGGTGGGGTTTGTTCATGTAAAATGTTGCATATCGATTTTGAACGTCAAGGTAGGACTCATATGGGAATTCAAGCTGTTCTCGCAACATCGTTGGTCCATCTCTTTCCGCCGAAATACTTTGAACAAGCATCAGTTCTCATTGATGAAGTCCTAGCTTTCTCCCCAGAGAATATTCTGTGCCTAATGGGCCGTGCTTACATCTACCAAGCGAAAGGGGAATGGAATGATGCAGAACTTCTTTTCTGCCGTATCACTCAACTCCTTCCAGATGATCTCGACATTGGTTTGCGTGCGAGGGAAGAAAGAGCATGGTGTCAATGTCAGATGAATGATTTCGACAATGGGCTTTCTGGCCTTCAAAGTGTTATCATTTCGTTAAATCACATCCACGGACGAGATTCCGACGTCTCTCGATGTCTTTGGCGGCTCGGAAGTTCTCACTGGAGGTTGGGTGGTATGTACGCTCACCTTGTATGACCTGCGAGGCGACATCTTCACCCTATTTCTCACAGGCGATGAACGTGAGGCTGCGTACAAATTCTTCATCGCGGCACTCAAACACGATCCTGCATTTGCTCCTGCGTTTTCCTCGCTGGGAACGTACTATTTGGAGTGTGCATGTCCTTCAGATCCGATTCGTGCCTCAAAATGTTTTCAGAAGGCATTCGAGTTGGATCCTCGCGAATCTATGGCCGCCAAACGATTGGCAGAGGGCTTTGCGGATGACGGAGAATGGGAGTTGGTGGAGGTCATCGCTAAGAGAGCAATAGAAGGAGAAGGAGGTTTGGATGCAGGGTTTAAAGAGGGTGCCTCGGGGGCTCTGCCAAAGAATTCGTGGGCTTGGGCAGCCGTTGGAGTGGTAGAGCTTGTAAGTGTTACTGCCCTCGGGAAAATATCCTTTAAAAATTAGTTGATCGTTACTAGCACAGACAAAATTATCCCGCAGCTATACAGGCATTTCAAATAGCACTCCGAGCGGAGCCGGACGATCAATCACTTTGGCTTCGCCTCGGAGAATCCTACGGCAAAGCTGGACGACTTGCAGCAGCAGTGAAGGCTCTTGGTCGCGCATCTGCGCTAGATTCTGGTGACTGGGGCTGCTCCTACCTCATTGGAGATATAGAGCGCCGCATGGGTCACTTTCAAAATGCTATCAACATATTCAAGTCCATCTTGGATTCGCACCCGTCTGAAGTCGGAGTCCTTTTCTCCTTGAGCCAAACACATCTTGATCTTGGCCAAATGGAATCTTCAAGTGGCTTTCCACTACGGTCTGAGGATTCCATTACGGCAGCCATTCAGATAGCTCTTGCCATGATCAAAGGAAGTTTCGGATTTCGCAGTGTGGCGTGGAAAGTAATCACAGATGCCGCTTTTCTTCTTTCGGACTCCTCAGGCTTTGTTGATGAGGGGAGTGTGCGGTTACTCTTTCAAGATGCCAATAACCTTTTCTTGGATGGGTGTAGTCAACTTGCAGGGTTTATGAATAAGCGAAATTTACAGGATGACCTGCCCCTCAGTGGTGCAGCTGCACTTGAAGTTGCGATATTTGCCTCAGCTTCTCGTCTATCTATCGGTGCCTCCGACCAACTCTCCCGCGGAAGTGCCTGGTATGACCTTGGGATATCGTTGTATTCCTGGACCATCTGCTCTCGGCATGCCGCTGATGCTTTGCGAATTCAAGCAAGGGCCATTGAATGTCTTACTAGTGCGCTTCAGGAAGATCCTGAGAACGAAGTGTACTGGAATTCATTCGGCAGCGCCCAATTTTTATTGCGTCCGATCATAGCTCAACATGCTTACATCAAAGCACTGGATATCAATCCAAAGCGAGCCACTACCTGGGTTAATCTTGGCCTTCTTTATGTCCACTACGGTGATTTCGAGCTTGCTACCAAGTCGTTGCACCGAGGCCAAGTTCTTGACCCCGACTGTACTTTGGCCTGGCTAGGGCAGGCCCTTATAGCAAAAGCGAACGGGGATAATGTTTCTACAAGAGCGCTGCTTGAGCATGCTTGTAGTCTGTCTGCGACATTGGTCAGTTGAAGCATCTTTAAACAATGATCTCCCGTAGAACTCATCATATTTACCTTATCAGCCCCAAGCTGATTATGAATTCGCTTTCCATCTGTTCCAAGAGGCGAAATTGTTGACTTTCGATGCTCTACTGCCCGCATACTTCCTCATAGAACGCTACTGTGGACGCCAACCAGATGATGCGGCTGGACTTCACCTCTTTGCTCTCATCTGCGAAGGGCTCGGGCACGTCACATTTGGAGAAAATTTGGTTTCACGTGTCATTGCTATCTTGGAAGTCGCATATGAGGAGTTGGAGGAGACTGAGGTGGAGAATCAGTATATCATTGCCAATCTAACACTAGGACGACTGAGGCTATCTCTCGGGGATTATCAGGGAGCAATTTCGTCGTTTGAAAGTGCAATGGGCCTTTTACAGGGAGAGAACCATAATTCAGTCGAAAATCTTCATTACCAGTCCTGTCTTGGGTCGGGATTGGCTCATTTCATGGCTAATGAATTTCAGATTGCTATCTCCGTCTTTCAAGAAGCCCAGGTGGTCACAGATAACATCTTATTGAAGGGCAAGATAAATGTTCTTCTTGCGCAAATGATGTGGGCTGCAGGTGCAGATGATCACAAGGCAATTGCGAAAGTGCAACTCCTTGAGTGGTGAGGAATTTGACGAAGTGATCAGAAAGCATTGACAACTGTTATTGCAGCATCTCGCGTGACCCGGAGAATTTATCGGCAATTAATACCCTTGCGGGGATGGGGATCCTCACGTGCGATGATAGTCTTGTTGAAGCTGCCCTTGCAGAAATATTGAGTCTTCCCGTGGAGGAAAGGAGCAAAATGGATCCGCAGAGAGACGCCGACTATCTCCTCGTCCAGCACTACCTTGGCCAGGTTTGTAACATCCTCCCCAGCCACCGTGAAGTCTCTCAACGATATTGCAGAATCATATACGAAAGGCTTTGGCAATTGCTCAAAAAAATGTATACATGGTACCCGCTGATGTAAACGCACGACAGGCCTTGGCGTCCCTCACTCTTCGAGCAAAACAAGCTGGGTCGACACTAGGGATCGTGGGACTGCCGTCTTGTGAGGTAGGAGAAAGGTCACGCCTTCTCCGCCTCCAGGCAGTTGCTCAGTTGACTGGTGCTTCAAGCAGCTCAAAATCGCCAGTACAGTTAGCACAGCGAGCAGTTATGCTCTCTCCATCCGATATAGATGGTTGGAAAACACTTGCATATGTCCAAGCATGTCTGCAGAAGAGGTGAGGAGATATATTAGGGATAAACTAGCCATAGTGTGTGGTTTGATTCAATGCCTGGAAACGAGAAGTAGAAGCCGACGAGTTAATGCGTCATCTCCCGATGTTCCCTTTACTGCCTGAAGCCAGTGACCTAACCTTGATTCCTTTGGTCTTGATGCAAGACCACGCACCATGCTTTAGAAAACAATGTTAGCCTTGTCCAATACTAACTTCGTTATGATCTCACATTCCGCGTTCTTGTAAAGCCTCATCTAGGAACTTTTCTGATAATTTCCAACCATCTTGCATGAGGAGTTTGTCGTCTAATATTACGAATTCTAGACGCTGTTTAATACGCCTTATCCGTAGTAGGTCAGGGCCGAGTGTGGGTAAGCCTAGAAGTCTGCAAAAAGGGAGCGTATAAATCGAGGAAAGCTAACAGACAAATGGCGGAGTACTTGCCCACAAAGCGCGTATGGGGCATCATCGACGGTATGTAGTATTCGTAGAGAAAGATGACCGGGTGGGTTTGCTCTTGTTTTTAATTGATTAAAAAGTTGCCGGTAATTGGCTGCGAAAGCAATTGCCTTCTCATTCCTCTTTGCCTCAATACGTTGACGCTGAGAGGGTAAGATGCAAGTTGATGGAAGCATGAATGGAGCGTAAATGGCGATAAGGGGGATGACCTCCTCCAATAATAGGGCGATTATTAAAAATGGGACCACTCTGTAAATGTTTTGATATACCATTTAGGACAAAGAGTAGAGATTGACCAACTTCTTGACGTCATCCTCCTGTTTGTGGATGAGGCGATATTCCCATCTCGTCAAAGGACTCCCGCCATTCTTGATCCTTGCCCTTATCAGCGAAATGTCTTTACGCCGAGTGAAAATAAGCTTGACGCCTCGATAATAAAATTTCTGAAAGTGGTAGGTCAGCGGACAGAGGGCATCAACTTGTGAATCAAATTATACAGCGAGTTGGATGCCTGTGTGCATCGTCCTCCTAAACCAATTCGCCCCCAATGGTGGGGGAGGAAGAACCCCATGGCTCTCCGCGTCTTCTATGTCGTGCTTTACGGCCTCTTTCGCGGTTCCTAGTGAAGGAGGGGAGAATGTATGGGTCGGCGAATGCAAAGCCTTGGTGGGCGTGGGTGTGTGCTTGGGTGAAAGCGAGGTCTCGGGTTTTAATGGTCCAGGTCGTAAATTGACCTTGGATTTGTGTTGGGGAGGAGCTGAAAGGGGAGAGGGAAGAGACGGGGGTGCGGGGGAGGGAGAGGTGTTGGAGGAAACAAAGCGGACAAAAAAGGGTGTAGATGAATAGTTGAAGTGGCGAGGAAAGTGTTTGGAGAGTTTGCCATCAGTTGTGCCCCACCGCCGCGTTGTATACCTGGGAACAAATATAAGAGCCAGGGTGGTGCAAGGAGAAGTTAACATACGATTGCTTCACTGCATCCTTTCCAACTTGGCGAAACATACAGCTAGAAAGTAGAGCTACGACCCAAGAGACCAAAAAGAGACGATTTGGGAAGGTGTGACCAATCTGTGACACCTCGCCACAGGAGAATAGCGGATACGGATACTGAGTCTGAAAAATAAATTATGCAATCATCACCTGATCGCTGCTCAGAGTTCGTTGGCAATGACTATCGTCTCGCTCAACCACGACGGCAACACGACGGGCTCAGATTCTGGATCGGTACCCGCTGAAAAACTGGGGAAACATTCTCCAACTTGTTTGAGAGCACCCGGGAACTCACAAGGCATGTAAGTCCCCAGATATTTCTTTCCTCGTGCCCTTGCTGATGCAACCAACATCTGAGCAGATCACGGTTTGTACAAGAATTCACGCCACCCATGTAGAATGGCTTTGGAAACCCCTCAGGTGCGTAAGTTATCTTTGTGATCTATTCAAGATACATACTCACGTTCCTTCAATCAACTTATAGATTATCGTGGAACTCCCACATCTGTGGTCCCGCTGACTATTCCAACCTCCCCTGCCGACCATCGCATGCTTTCAGCAGCGAAAGCCGTACCCCCTGGCTCACCTTCCGCTTCCCACACACCCTCTATGGCTTACCCAAGCCCTCTTTCAGCCACCACCCCATCGGCCGCTTCACATACACCTCAAACAGCCCGTCTCGGACCTCACGAGGTGGCTGTCTCATCCGCCAGCTCATCAACTGCTTTATACGCACCCACTATGGACCCTCCAACCTCAACAACAACACCGCCTCTTGCGGAACTTAAACGCGGTCACTCAAAAGGGAGCGTGAAGATCAAGTCAGCCCCCGTCTAAGACTCGGACGGCCTCTCGGAACTGGGTATAAGCAGAGGCTGAGGGCGTCGTTGGGTGAAAATGCAGCTCGGCGGCAAAGAGACCAAGAGGATGACTCCGCAAACAGGATTCATCACCTGTTTCTGTTGACTTCGGAAAAATGGTAGGTTCGTTATATAAATATTTCTATTATCTTTACTAATCTACTCTTAGCTGGTCTCTGGAACACCTTCACGACATGAGGGTCCTTCTTTCCAGGCACCATGCCGCCAAAAGGTATGTATGGTACTGCCCTCCCCCTTATTTTAGTACCAGATGCACGGGTCACGTCAACCATCCGACACAAACCAGATGCTAATTGTCGTTGTCGTCATCGTAGTGAGTCCCCTGCCATCCTTGTGCCATCCCAGTTCTTCTCTGCTACCCACCACCTAACCTGCCACCACCACCAGACAAACAACGGTGGCCACGGCCACGTCACCCCTCCCCAGCAACAACCGACCACCACGACGCGACAACACAACCATGCAACAACCATGGCAGAACACACAAGGGGCAAACAGCTTTTGTCGCCAGGTAAAGAGGTAACAAATAGTAAATAACTATGTTAAATCTTTTATTCCACATTTGTGACAAAAATGATCAGTCGAATAAAATTATAATTTTCTTGCTTATGATCTTTGTGGCAATGACCAATAAAAAGAAAATGTTGTTGCCACAGCAGGAAGATAAAGATAAACCCTGTTTTGCTGTGGCAACAATGATGAGGCAACAATTTAATGTCGTTGACAGCTCGTTCTGACATGAGGAAATGGGAACAAAGAAATTATATAATTGCCAGGGAATTAGACATTCCCATGCAGGCCAGATCACCTCGTTGCTTGGCAAATATGTAAATTCTTTGTTTCTGTTTCCTCATGTCAGAACGAGCTTTCATTGACATTAAATCGTTGCCTCATCATTGTTGCCATAGCAAAACAGGGTTTATCTTTATCTTCCTGCTGTGGCAACAACATTTTCTTTTTATTCATCATTGCCACAAAGATCATGAGCAAGAAAATTATAATTTTATTTAACTGATCATTTTTGTCACAAATGTGGAATAAAAGATTTAACATAGTTATTTACTATTTGCTACCTCTTTACCTGGCGACAAAAGCCATTTGCCCCTTGTGACAACAGCACATGACGAGACATGACCATTGTCGAACAAGCAGGGTCCACATCAACCTCACAACCTACCACAAAAGAACCATGACGACGACACGACAACAAGGGACAATGAAGATGGCCTGGCACGTCAATGGACATGCCACGACGTCCAGACTGTGACGATGCATGTCGTCGTCACCGTCCACATTAATCCAGGTGAGCAAGATGGTTTCTCTCCCCCACCTTTTCTCATGAGAAGCAGGGGGCACATCAGCGACGTGCCCTGCTTTCATCATAGTCATTTAGTTATTTGTTACTGTGTTTCTATGTGTAGAATACCTTCTCAATGATCATTTTTTTTGAACTGTCCTTCAATTTTACAAAAAAAATGTGCAGGGATTGAACATAGGGAGGAACAGGTCTAATGCTTGTTCTATCTTATCAGAGATCTGACTGTACCTTTGTGTAATCTAAGCAAGTATCCAGCTTATATAACACGAAATAAATCTAAAAGGAGGAAACAAACCCTGATGATCTCACAAAACTGAGCAAGTATCCAGTATCCTGATTTACCCTGCTTTCCTACAGCTCGCAAACACCCCAGGACACACTGCCGCAGCTCAGTGAGGTGTTCTGCAGGTTGCTTGCTTGTGTTGTTGCACGCCGTGTTGATATTGTGAGGTTTGGGTCCTCCCTTCCTCCTCTTCCCTTTTTCTTTTTTCTTTTTCTTTGTTTTTTTTTTTTTTTTAGCCCACAAACACTGGTATCTGGCCAAATTGATGGCATGTCTTTTCACTAAAAATGGTAATCACCAGGGCCATGGTGCCATGTCTGGAACCAATTTTAAAAAGAGTCAAAAATCAAAAACTCCATATCTTGTGCACTATAAATTATGTTATTTTAAAGAGTGGCTTAGCTCAATGGAAAGATCTGATTAAGACTGATAATGTATTGCAACGTCTCTGGTTCAATTGCTGTAGGCTGCAATTTCTTTTCTCAAAAATATATTTGCTCTGACTTCTTCTTACTCTCCTATTTGCATATTTATGCACCAAAAATCTCACACCACCACTTAGAAATTTATAAACACCAGAAAGTATGGATATAAGTAACTCAAACCAATAGATTGGGAAAGAATTCATGAGAATTGACATTTTCCCCTTCCACCTCTTCCTGCACATGCATACATCTGATCCTCTCTTGCAGAATCAATGCAGACCATGCACCTCCTTTTTCTTGAAGTAGAACTGGATAATCCTAGTTGTGCTTTCTACTGTAAAAATTTACCTTGTGCATTTTGGCCAAAAGAAATAGGAGAAATTCTCTGCTGAAGGCTCCTCTGGGTGTAAACTTAGAGGTTTTACCCAACATATATAACCATGCCTGAGGACATGGATGCCAAGGAAACTGATGCAATACCTGTTGCTGAGAGTGTAGACATATTTACTTCGATCCAAATTTTCATTCCCCAGGGCTGTTAGTGATGTTGATTCCCCATGCTCTCATTATAAATGTATAAAAATGGTTCAAGAACTCTGCAGCATAGCTTGGTGCTTGAATCCTCTGCTAGATTTTCCTCCTTTTATCTATTCTTTTTTTTAGTTGATTTATGGTAAAAAATTCAAAGTGCTCATGTATTTTATAAAAATTATTCTTACAATTGGCCTTTCCTGATAACAGGGAGCCATAGCTTCGAAATTAGGATCCTGAGTAGGTGAGAACCAGATACCATGGAGGGTTACAGATGTTTCTTTCATTTACTTTTTATTTGTGATCTGGCATCTCCTGCCTTGTGCTCTTCCTCAATATGAGTACCTCTGCAATGGCCTAATTTTTTAGTGCTACTTTGCATGTTCGACAATGGAAATTGGTGCAGTAACAAGCAAGATACACTGCCAAATAGTCAACATGTGAGAGAAACATGGGCGAAAAACCCTGTCCATCATAATTCGGCAGCTGTCGGACATGCTGATGGGACCTTTTCTCAACAGTCATTACTGCCCAACGACAGTGTGTCTCCAGGTTGATGTTGACAACAGGTGTAGTTCAGATATTGATAACAGCTGCAAGTGTGCTTCAGCCCACATATTCCATGGCATTATCAACAACTTTTAGCTAGACCTGTAGAATTCATCTAGGTACATGTTGTAGTATACCAGTAAGCATCCTATCTCTTTACCCTTTCCATTCCCCGAGGCACGCCTACCTATGCATTCATCTCTTACTTTGTATCATGTCATGCTATTACGTAAGCATTGTAGTTATACCTCATGTAGTACATGAGGCAGGAATCATCTCTTTTACCACCACGTCGCTTGCAAAGCTCTAAGTATTAAGCCCTACTAACGGCTTACATTTGAGCCTCGAGCGTAACGGGTGTTGAGAAGACTTGCCTTCAAACGATCAGAGCCATCTCCACAGGGACTGTCTGTGGAGATCGGAGTATGGGTACCGTGAACTGTCACGTTCCACGGCTCCAAGCGTCTGATCGTCTAATCAACTTGACCTACGAGGGTCTTCACACCTTCGTACGCGTCGTCCGTTAGACACTCCGACAGCCGTCCCACTACCCGAGTGCCGCTGGCATCGAGCAGCGTGCCACAAAGGTGGACACTGTGGGATCGGTTGATCCATCTAGCCGACGACCTAGCGTCTATCTCGATCCCCCTAGAATTTACTTCACCTGTCTTGACCCGATCAACGTCAAGACTCTGTCATCAACAACTCGAACAATCTGTCGAGCTTTCGCCCTACGAGATCTACTCCCCCAACGGGTAGGGGGGGCAAACCTCCTTTTTCAATGACTTTCGGAACTTCCAGGGCATCTACACAAGCTGACCCAGTTCAGAGCACGTCGACGCCGGTCCACAGCCCATCCGATTCACCCTGGAGGAGGACTACGGCCGCACTGACCCCATCTTCCTCGTCAACCAAGACTAAGACTATCCCTTTTACACGAGAACAACCCCCACACCAAGCGTCTTTGATTCCAAGGCCAAAATCATCGCCCCAAACCGTTACTACAAAAATGCCGCCGAATACCCCTTCCCCCGCTTTGCCCAAACCAAAGGACTTAACACACTCAAGTTCGGCTGTCCCACCACTCTCAGACGTCGAATCCTCTGACGTTACGCCGACCCTCCGCCGAGGGATGGAAAGAGGTTACGCCCTTTCACCAATGTACAGCCTAATCATCGAATACAATCAAGAACAAGGAAAGAACTTCTCCACAGCTGCGGAAGTCTCATGGATTCTTCAACAGCCCAACCTGAGGCCGAATGAGATCATCAGGAAGAACGACTCTGATCCTTACACCGCCATCACGATCAAGGACTCTCGATTACAATGAATTCTTCGAGTAGTTACAGAGCTACAAACGTTTCTGGACAATATGGCGAGCCTCATAGACGAACGAAGCAACGTGTTCAGGATCGACCCCGAAGAAACTATGATGACCGCTCTACAAGGCTGTGAAAGCCATTCCCAGCTGGAAATGGCTCACACTATCCTGCTCAAGCGTCTCCTGACGGCTCAACAAACGGTTAGCAAGTACGAGGCTCAGTACCAAAATACTTCCGATATGCCGTCATCTCCTGTTTCAACAGCTCCAGAACTATACGATGAACTCGAACAACTTGATGGCGTAGACAGTCACATGAGGTTCATGTTGCAAAGGATACCTCGCCACCGAGGTCATCTTACTCTGACAGCTCAAGAGGGAGTCTATCAAGGCCTTGGCTGGGATGTAATTCATCCTATGCCGCCAATACCTTCGGATGTGGAGAGTCAATCACAAGAGCCCCAACCTTTTGCGTCATCCGAGCCGGATACTTCGCTCCAATCTAAAGTGGAAGGTAAGAAGAAAGTAGAATGGGGCGATCTACCCCCTTGGTTTGACAAATCATCAAGTGTGGAGCAAGGAAGAGATAACGAAGAAGGACTTGAGCCTTCTTTTGGATTTCACACCCCTTTCAAGCCCGGCACCAAGTTCTTCAATGCTTCTAACGGTTCCGGCGCCTCCGCCCTCTTCTCCACGCCAGGAACGATGCCAATGACGGACGTTACGGTAGGACTTGCCACACCCTCCTTCACTCAGTTTGCGGACAACGTCAGAACGGTTCCAGTCGTTGAACAATCGCAGCAAGCCTTGGTACACTCGAAGAACGTCCCATCCGATAGGAACTCCTGTAACGATCCCAGCCAACTTCGTTCAAACAACTCTGCGCCGTTCAAAGGAGGACCCCCACCTGATGATGGTCCCCCAGGAGGGGGAGGAGGAAGTGGAGGTGGCAGAGGATCAGGAGCGTCAAACAACGACTACAACGCCTCTCACTCCGGAGGGCATTACCACCCCGGAGGGGGCGGCGGTAATCCAGGGGGAGGAGGTGGAGGAGGAGGGGGAGGTCCCCCATTTTCTGGAAATCAGACGGGACCACCTGCTCCCTACGGCAATATCCCAGCGTCCATTAAAACTGAATTAAAAGTCGAACAACTCCTGGAGTGGGATGGTAATCATTGGATGGCGATAGACTACTTTTGGGAAGTTCAACAGCTAGCGCATTTGGGGGGTTGGATCCCAGAAGCGCTAGGCTACTGGTTATGGTTCCGCCTAAAAGACAAATCACCAGTTAAATCCTGGTTCATTACCTTACCATTGACGTATCAAACTTACATGCGTTCACATTACCTCAAATTCCTCAAAGGCATTAAAGACGGTTACTTAGGACACCGCTGGCAACTCAAAATGAACAACTATTATAATTCGCAGCAGTTCCGCGAAAGGGGGCATGAAAGAGAGTCCCCATCCGAGTTCATTGTCAGGCGTATAGTATATACGCATATGCTGTTGTCCATCAGCGGAGGGCCGTTAGAAGTCTTTTACATTATGCGAAAGGCTCCTATAAGCTGGGGACCCATTCTACTCATGAGTAGTATAAAGGACTCGAGCGACCTCTATTCGCGAGTTACGGAACATGAAGAAGCACTTTTGGAAGCATACCGAGTATCCAGAGGGGGACAGACACCCTCGATTGATAACATTGTTAGCCAATTGAGACAGATGGGCGTGATCTCGGACAAAGACAGAGCTACCCCCTCCTATAATAATTCTAATTCTAACTCCTATCAACGCAGAGCCAACCTAGCAGAATACTCTAATGCGAACCAAAGCGCGGAGGAGGAAGTTCCTCCAACTGCTATCTCAACTGCCCTCCCGACGGCTTTCAAAGACCTTTCTTCTAATGACTATATTTTACGCGAGGCGTACCAGGTGTTAAAACAACGGCAACGTCCTCCACCCCCAGGGGGGTACCCTTTCCCGAAAAACGACCACGTTACAACGAAAATGGGCAGATTGCCGCCTTCGCCTTGCAAATGTTGGGGGAGTTCGAACCATTGGGATAGGGAATGTCCTGACTATGACACTTCCCTCGAGAAAGCTAAACGCTCAGCCAACGTAGCAGAACTCTGGCCAGAAAATGAAATTGAGAAGACTTACGCAACAGCATATTCAGTTCTGCTTAATGAAAGATTGTCCGAAACGACGATAAACCAACCCTTATCAGAAGACTCTCTTGCTCAACAGGGTTTTAAATCGGCATCGTCTCTTTCACAGGTAACTGTGGAGGAAGCGAGTAAGCCCGGGGAGGCCTCAGTGAAGTCGGAACGTACGACCATTGAGGAAGTCGAGGACAAGGATTGGCTTGCATACCACGCCAAACCGAAATCCACGCAGTTCGTGATGGAGGAGATACTGCCAACAAAGGAATCAGTCCTTTCACAAACAAAAGACGGGGAGGAAAGAGTTGAACCTAACTTTAGATCCCCTCCTGCCCAAGAATCGACCGAAGCTCTTCCCGAGTCTTCCGAATCGCCACCGCCAATTCCAGAGACCAAAGTCCGGCTAAAGAAGAGGCGTTTCACCCCAGCAGGATCATCGGCTGTTGGAGTATCAGTAGTTGCAGCTCAAGGATGGGTAGGTTCAACTAGAAACGAACCTATAGACATCAGACTGGACTCCTGTGCGGACATTACCTTGATTTCACAAGAATATCTCGAAAGCTTAAAGGATCAACCATCCTGTCAGAACGGACTGAAAATGAACCTATGGCAACTTACCGATAAAGACGTGACTCTTCAAGGCTATGTGCGAATCCCAATATTCTTCAAGTCTTCAGAGGGAGTTCT